AGAGACAGACAGAGAGAGAGAGACAGAGAGAGAGAGAGACAGACAGAGAGAGAGAGACAGACAGAGAGAGAGAGACAGACAGAGAGAGAGAGACAGAGAGAGAGAGAGACAGACAGACAGAGAGAGACAGACAGAGAGAGAGAGACAGACAGACAGGCAGACAGGACAGACAGACACGCCTCGCTGCCTCGGCCCTCACCGCTCCACGCTTCCCATGAAGATCGTGATGAAGTTGAGGACCTGCTCCAGGCATTCGGCCGAAGACTCCAGCACCTCGTCGGCGAAGCGCCGTAAGAAGATGAAGAAGTCGCCCATGTTCTCCACGAAAAACTCTGAGCGGAACACAAGATAGAAAATTTGAGAAAACTGCAAGATATAATGTTCTGCTGCAAAACCTGAGCGCAGCCTGTTGCATCCTGATGGAATGAGGAGCATAACAGTGTCATACTGCAGGCCCCCATCACCCGAGCCTGTCTGCCGTCTGCCAGAAATCAGATTAGATTTGATTCAAATTTGTCATTGTGCAGAGTACAGACACAGAACCAAGGACACACAGTTACCATCTAACCTGGGGAAAATACAATATATACAAATATGATAAATACAATAATTTATAAATATGTTAAAAATGTAATTATAGTTTATGGTTGTGTATAAAATTATTCACAATAATCTGGAATATAAGGTGTAGACAAGAAATACAAATCATAACTTTATGTATCTACTGTAGTGAGCAGCCACTTTATGGATTAACGAGGCTTTAATGCGTGTTGAAATGTGAGAATCATCTAAGCAAAGTGGAGCTCCAAGAGATCCTAGGGAAAGGTCCATATTGGTGCTGCTGTGCCCTCTTGGGGTCTTGGGGGTACCTGGAACACAGCTCAGCAGGCTGTACTGTACTGGCGGCAGGGGGAAGCGGAGGGGGGCGTGCTCAGGGCCCTGATTGCCTAGGCTGAGCTGCACCAGCAGGGCGGCGGTAGAGCCCTGCAGGCTGAGGCAGCACTGCAGCACGGCCGGCTGCGTGGCCGCCCCCTTGGTGGACAGGTACGCGGTCATGAGGCGCTCAAACTGCTCGCGGAGCTGCTCGGCCGCGGGCCCCGTGCTGTGCTGGGCATCACGCCACGTGCCCTGGAGCCGATGGAGCGACTGGTTCATCTTCACCATCTGGTCGTGGAGCCTAGCCGGGGGATGGGGTGGGCCGGAGAACACGGTAAGAGTCTTCGTAAGTCAGCAACCCACGTGACAGGAGAATCAGAATATACCGCAAGGACATCACTTCTATACCGCATCTGCTTCAGTAAAGTCATACGGTAGATGTTTCAAAATTTAGGGTCTGTATACCTAACAGCCATAGCACAGACATTTCCCGATGCCCGACTTTCTTCACGTTTTCTGTAACACGCCTCGCTTCTATTCCCTTCGTTCTTTTCCGGTTAGAAACGCGCACACTAACTGCACACATAATCGTGTACAATTAGGACCGCATATAATCAAAAAGCTTTAGCCTGTTATGAAAACACATGGGAACAAAGAAACTGACAGCAAGACGAGATTTCTGAAGAAATTCTTCAGCAGAAAATAACCATAATGGACAAAATCACACGAGAACAAAAGCATTAAACAAATTGGTAGAGACGATGGGGGTGCATTAAACAAAGACCATTCCAACCCTAGCTGCCCCCTGCAGAAACATCAGGGCTGAATATGGTCCACCATCATCTACATCATCATCAAAACCCAGTCACTCCACATTTTTGCTCTCTTCCAGCTCCTAGCCAATCAAGAACACCGAATACCTGATATAGGTGTGTTGGGAGCTGAGCTGGAACAAAAATGTGGAGTGACTGGGGGTTCCTGAGGAATGGGATCAGAAACATGTACAAAATCTAGACTAAGGTTTGTCTCCATACAGTGAAGCATACAGAGTATGTACAGAGCATGTAGCATGATGAAAACACCCAATCAACTAAAAAAAACTGACATTTCGAGGTGATGGATGGGGGGGGGTTGAGTCCCCCTGGCTTGGCAGAGGGTAGCAGAGTGGACAGGGGTACCTGTGAAAGCCCAGGTGCAAGGCAGATTGAGTAAGAATGAGGTTCTCTGTGAGAAGATTGTAGGACTGTGCAAACTCCACAGGTTGCTGGGGTGGAGCGGGGATCAGACATGTCTCCTTGTCCAGACCTGGAGAACAAGAGGAGCCCAAAGAATCAACTCACATGTCTGGACTATGTGCACAAAGCACAAGAAAATCCATGAAGATATAAAAGATGACCCAGCAGCATGGTAAATCATGGAAAATCAGAGCTCAGTCAGTGGTGTGAGCCGCCTGACCCCTTGCGTGCACGTTGCGGTTCCGCCTCTCCTCCTCGCTCAGCTCCTTGAGGGCGCAGTAGGTGGGGTTAAAGGTCAGGAGCTTGGGGGAGCGTGGGCGGCAGAAGGGCTGGCACAGCTTGAGCAGCGTGGCGCCGAGGTTGAGGAAGAACGCGTCCGAGGCGTACATCTGTAGGAAGACCTCGGGCATCTGGTTGGCCCAGATCTTGGTTCGTCCAGCATTGGCATGCAGGCAGTTGCCCAGCCAGGAGAGCAGCAGGTGTCGTGTATCTCCACTCTGCTGCAACAGATTCTTCAGGACCTGGTGCAGCTTGTCATGGAACTGGCCCATAAACTGTGGGGGAGGGGCAGCCCTGTCAGGAAGCGTGTTACCATGACTACAACCCAAAGCAACTCTGTATTACTACATCCTTCATCCTTGTCATAACACTGTATTCATTCAACGAAGTATCATTACTGCTGTTGTCAAATTGCACTGCATGTTGTCACATCCTGAAATTGGACTTATGTGGTCTTGTGTTGTTTCTGTATTTGTTCCTCGTGTTGCACCGTGATCCTGGAGGAACATTGTTTCGTGTCACTGTATACAGTGCATATGGCTGAAATGATAATAAGCCTACTTGACTTGACCTGACCTGACCTACCCAACCGTGACTGACTTCACACAGGGGGGGAATCAGGAACAGGCCCAGTAATCAAGCTTATCCGCAACTGACGAAAATCTTCAATGACTGCCCCCACCGCTAAATATACAGTCACGACTCACCACATTCATTTTTTGGTAATAATAGCTTCCACTGTAAAAAAAAAAAGGATGACTGCTTTAGACTGTTTTGCACAATACTTTGTCAGACATTTTTTGAACCACTGTACTTTTTTGGCTTCATGCGGAAATATTCATTGTGATGATACACAGACATAAAAAAAGACGTTTTATGTGATACGAATTTCATGTTTTTTTTCCTTTTCTTTTGGTGAAGCACTGCGTAACCAGTTGTCTTAGAGAATCCTTTACCGTTGTGACCATAAAAATTTAAACTTGGCCGGATACCTCAATCCCCTGCAGGACAGACCAGACTCTCAATGATCGGCAAGCTATGAATCCCAGAAATCTTAATCATACGCAGATCTGCGGCCAGGCAGGAGGAGCTCTGTGGTCTGGCAGTGGCAGGTTCGGCGCCCTAACCTGATGCACGTTGGACTCCTGCACCTTCATTTCCTGCGGACTGGAACGGGAAGGGTTTAGGAAGAAGCCGTGGTTCTCTACCACGCCGGGGGTCTTCAACAGGCAGGAGATGTTCAGCAAGGTCCCCAGGAGAGTCTTCTGGTACTGCAGCCCATTGCTGGGGTCTTTTGGCTGAATGTGCTCTACCAGCACCTGGGATTATAGGTAAATCAAGAGGGTTTTTTTTTTTTTTTAAGCTAAATTTGTTTTATTTTTCCATCACGACCCAGCTTAGAATGAGCATTATGGAAGAGGGACGGGGGTTTTTATTATATAAAGGATTGTTATATAAAAATCTTTGATTTTGAACTGAAGCGGAACAGACCTAAAGATTGCATACACCTCTGACCTTGGCGATATCCTTCTGGTGGCTGAAAAAGATCAGGATGTCCAGGTAGGAATACAGCAGCGACTGGCAGAGGTCCAGGTCCTTCACGCAGCTCTGGAATATGTCCAGGACCGGCACCATAACCTCCCCAAAAGTGCGCACCTCCTGATCTGCCACAAGGGCGGCTATGACCTCCTCCACAAACTCCAGCACCTGATCCAGCTCTGGGTGGGGTGGGGGGGGTTGAGAGCACACAACACACAGAGGACAGATCACTCTGGAGATCTGGTACATTCTGTTCCCCTGTGATGTGTTCCAGTAAGAGCGTTGACTCAACCTTTCCACATAATGGGAGAGGAGTACTCGCTCAGTGACCAGCGGGGGGGCAGGGGGGCTTCAACATGGCTGACTTTAAAGTATTCTAGACTTAGTCATACTAATTACTAATAGCTTTATTTCATCCCCCCCATTTCCCTCCATTGTTTCTGTAAACACACACACACACACATACACACACACTTTCTGTTGCTCCAGACCGGAATTAGCTAGTTTGTACCTGTGGCCTCAAACTGCCTCATCAGCACTAACAGTAATAAGAGCCGACCTTGCCAGCTCGCCTCATGATTATAAACTTGGACCCTGATTTACTGGTGCTCAGTGTTACAGTACGACACCCTCTTTGCCAGGATGGAATGCTGCTGACATACATGTCTACTAGATGAGCGGTTCTGAGTATCTCCTGGTGCGGGCTCAAGCGGGTTTCGTTCAGTGTTTCTCAACCCAGCCCTCGGGGACCCACAGTCAGCACACAATTCTGCTCCACCCCAGCTCCCTGCTAGCCAGTCTGGGGGGGGGGGGGGCCAAGGACCGGCTTGAGAAACACTAAGGCTGTGTGTGTCTTAGCAACTTTCGCTGAGATAAAGAGTTCCCTCTAAATCATCCAGTGATATTTAACCAGATCTGCTCTAAGGAATAACCAAAATGTTGAGAGTCAAAAATGCATTTTACATTGTTAGGCTGGATGCAATCCTGCCACACAGAACTTATCTCCAGGACCGGGATTCAAACACACAGATATGAGAGGCCCCTAAAAGCCCCGACATGCTTCCAGTTTCCGGCAGGGACCCCTGAGGTGACTCACGGGCTCCGCTCACGCCCTCCAGCAGCAAATCCAGCAGCTGCTTGTAGACGTTCTGGCTGACGTAGATCTCGGGCGTGAGGAGCACGGTGCGGGCGTTGGACAAGCTCAGGGTCTTACAGCGAACGGCGAAGGTCAGCAGCTTCTCCGGCACTTTGGTGATCTGCAGGGGGAGAAATGCAGCTCAGTTACTGAGGTCAAAGCCCAAGAGGGAAATGCAACACGGGGGCGGTGTGCGGCTCAGAGCGCCGGGACGCTTGTGATCAGAAGGTCATTGGTTCAAGTCCTGTGGTAAGCAAAGTAAATTCACAGCTGGGCCCTTAATCCCAATTGCTCCTGGGACCGCTGGACCCTGCTTTCAATTGTATTTGTGCAGATGATGTGTGGCTCAACCAGTTTGAATGCGGTGTCTGTGATCAGAAGGTCAGAGGTTAAAATCCCAGAGTCAGCAGAGCGATTTCACTATGGGTCTCCTGAGCAAGACCCTTAACCCCCAATTGCTCCAGGGATTGTCTGACCTCCCCCCCACAAAATGTTGTTTTGGATATTAAGCGACTGCTAAATGAGTAAATGTGTGCATTTACAACACATATTTTTAATAACAGGAAAGGGGAAATGACGGAGTTCTCTGCTGATGGAAGCTTCAGAAACCGTCAGTAACCAGTCAATCGTAGCCAGAGGTAGAAAGTTTAGGTCCAGATAGTAAAAACCCAGACCCAAGATTTTGTTTGAACCAACCAGTTAAGTATAAAGAGTCACAGTCACAGAGTACAAAATCTTGGTCTGGATTTAAATTTTCTGAACCTGAACGTTCCACCTCTGATTGGTCAAAGAGGTGGCACATTTAACATCGTTATAGAAACTCTGTGAATCAGTGACATTCAATGACCCACTCGCCTGGGTAGGTAACCAGAAACCAGAGAAGGAACCGCGTCTGCATAAGCCAATCCGAGGAAGAAATCCATTAAACCATCCTGAATGCCATGTTTACGCACCATCCGCCACCCCCCCATCATTATTCTGTAAGTAACAAAAGCTGAAATGCCCACTGTGGCCATAAGGGGGCACCCACCTCCTCCTTGGCCCTCTGGTAGCAGGCGTAGAGGTACGGGATGGCACACTTCTCGCCAGCGTCCCGGTCGGCTGACAGATTAGCCACGCTGCAGGTGGTCATGTAGATCAGGTGATTTCCCGGCTCCGGAAGCAGCAGCCTGTTGAACAGGCCCTGGGGGAGCGGAAAGAGGGTTTAAAATCGCCATGGTGATGCACCACCACCACACATCAAGGGTCCTGCGGGGCCGTCACCATCCGGTCACCAAGCAACCCAGCCGAGTGAACGCGGACACCCAAACATGTGGGAACATGACATCACAGCCACACATTGCGGTAATGATTGGGTATTTCGACCTACTGAATAACGTATAATTAATGACACATGATATTCACAACCTAGCATTAGGTACCTGCAGGTAAAAACTGAAAATTGGCCCAGGTTAGATTTAATATCCAAAATGGTTTAAAACCAAATAAAGACACACAAAGGAAATGAAGCCATTAACATTAATATAACCTGAGACACTGCGACTGGGGAACCCCCTAACTGAGGGGGGGGAGCCCACCCTAATTTCCACAGCGGCTCCCCTCTCCTGGTCGTGGGATTTTGCTACCAATCTCCTGACAGGCATCTTTTCTTTTTTTTTTTTTACTTTATTTTAGTGCTTAATTTTATAGGCTTTGTAGGCTTCTAAGAGAAAATCGAGGGTGACATTGACCAACATTTTACCTGAAGAATGATGAACAATCATTGCATTTCATTGGATAACTTCAGTGTTTTGGAAAAAATAATGACAAAACACAGAATGGCATAAATTTTTTATTATTTTTTTTTTTAAAGTGACATATCTTGACAGAGAAATAAGCTGAATCAGAAGCATTCTGGGCCTGTTTTCACACTTTCCTCCCGTCAAAGCACTTCCCTGTCATTTCGTACTAACACAGGAGCCACCGGGAGGACGTCCTCACCCTGCCTGCTGGGGCAAGACCCCCCGGAGTCCTACCTGCTCGATGTTGTCCATGTCTAGCCAGTCCTGTCCATCCAGGTCAGCTGCCATCTCCTCCAGGTACACACAGCGAGGCGGGATGCCGTTACCACCCCTGAGACTGGGGTCACCTGCACAGGCGGCGCCACACACACACACACACACACACACACACACACACACACACACACACACACGTTTGTAATTATATCTTTGTGGGGACTCTCCATTCATGTCTATGGGGGAAACTCTAATCCCAACATGACGACCTTAACCCCTACCCAGCCCCAACCTTAACCATAAGTAACCAAACAAAATAGGAGACTATTGGCATTTTTACTTTTTTGATTGCATTCACAGATCTTTGTGGGGACCTGAAAAATGCTCCCCACAACATCAAGATACCAGGGTTTTTAGTCCCCACAATGTAATGTTAACTTAATTCACACACACATAGTTTTAAATACATCAGAGGCTCACAAATAAAATTCTTTAAAATCACGGTAAGACGCAAAAAAAAAAAAAAAAAAAAAACAGCAACTGAACGATATCATCTGATTTCATCCAAATGAGATTCAGTAATGAAATTATTCTTTCTTTCCTCGCTCAGAGACCAAAGGTAACAAAATACATTTCGTTATGCTCATGTCTCCTTGAATTCCAATCAACAACCGACGTCCGCAGTACAGAACCTGCGAGGTTAACAATGCCGATTTAACACAAGAGGGACCGGAGGTTAGCAGACCTTACACCTCCACTTGTGTGCTTCACTGCTGTCCTGTCTGATAGATTCCAGTCAGACCTCACAGCAAACACCTGAGGTACCCAGCACTGGGCATACTGCGTTATTTGCTGACAATCCGGTCCCCAGAGTGCCACCCCAGCTTGGCTGCGGTTTTCTAGAATTCTCCACCCGATGGGGTGGATGCAAGACGGCCTGGGCTGCTAACAAGGCCTCTGAGGAGCGAAGCGACGGCTGGCGCTACATCCAGAACTGTCAGCACGGGAACCAGAGGCCTCCAAGCCTGTTATTTTTGGGCCCACCAGACCAGAACCACCGCCTCTTCACAGCCCCTCACATTATTACCATGACATACATCCGTAGCAGCTTAAAAGGTGAAGAGTCTGCTTAGCCTGCAGCTTTACCTCATTACCAGCTGATAGATTCTCAGGCAGGTCACCTGAGAGTGTTATCTCTGGGCCTAAAGGCCGGACACTTGCATTCCACAGAGGTACGTTCCCAGCTCGTCCCACTGGGCTGGGGTCCAAGCTGGTTCCCCTTCAGCTGTGCTCTAAATAAATTAGGTTGAGCCATTTTGACTGATGCACAATTAACATCACACCGATTAAACATGTTTACACAATATTTTAATACATTCTCCCCTGTAAAAGGTATATATGGTGACTAATTTCTGTTAGCTTTGACAAACAAAAAGAAACTAAAGTTGATCACCAGTTTATTCTGTACTGTTTGATGGTTACAATCAAACAAGCACCAAATGGGTGAAAACCGATATTTAAATGCTAATGTGCGCAACATACATCAGTTATTTGCGACAACCCAGTCAAGCTGACTTAATTAAGATAAGGTCACTATACACCTCAGAGTTCCACACACAGTGAGAAAGGGCCCACAGACCACACCCACTGGCCACACTCATTGGTCTGACCCACTGGCCACCCTCAACGGTCACACCCACTGGCCACACTCATTGGTCGCACCCACTAGGCACATCCCCAGCAGTCTGACTAACAATTCCTCATCTGGCTGCTGTCAGATTCTGCAACCACTTACAAGTATTTTCTGAAGAAGCCAGGAGTCTCACAGCAGCAACTGATATCACACTCAACTTCAACCAGTCAAACAGTCTATCACAAAGTACTACCGCTGCTTAGAATATGACTTACGCCCATTACAGTTACGCCTCATAAACATATTGTCACTTTCTGATGAAAACCACGTATGTCGACTTTTAATGATTGTGACTCTGTACTATAGAGGGAATACACCCATTCTCCTCTGCCAACTGATAACCTGACACCTAATTGACCAATGAAAATGAATTTTGAAGTCATCTACTGAACTAGCATCTCCGTTGCATGTCAGAAGTGTTAATTTCAACCAAGCATCTCCCACACTTTACTTGGAAGATTGTCAGCTAGGGTTGGAAGATTGTGGGTAAAACATAAATCACATTTTCATATTTCCCCGCTAATGCAAACATGGCAGAATCATTACCAGGTAAGAATGAGATCACACCGGGATTGAGATCATAATTCAGCTCTAGAATGAGATCAGACAGGGGTATGAATTGAGATCATGATTCAAAAATGGTTAAGCCCCAGTGTCAATTAATTTACCTCAGCCGGTACTCGAGACCTGAAAGCAGGAGAAAGTTTGTGCTGCAGTTTGTTTGAGTCGGATACTGCTGTCAAGGTAAAGTAATACTCTAAGCTTCTTGTTTGAAAACAGTATTTATGTTCATACTAGTTGACATTTGCAATCATGATGGATTGGATAATGTAATGTTACTAATTTTAACACTAACAGTAGATAGCTGGCTCAAATAATAAGACAAAGCTCAGATTATGTCTAAACATTTTGACTATCAATCAATAGTGTTTTTTTGTATATAACAGATACCTGTGAAGAGAGGTTTCGATTTGTGGAGCAAAGGGTCTCATCACATTCTTTTGGATTTATTTTCTAGTAGTTTCAGAGAAAATATTTTTGTTTCACGTTCATAAAATACTGGATTTTTGAAGATACACGTTTTTCATTGGACAGTGATAATATTTAACCATTACCGCAACCATAAAAAATTTATACATTTTCAAGGTTACAGCAGAAATCCCAAATCACCATGTCATGCAAAGACCATAACGTCCAGCAGCTTATAGGAGAAATCCACCCCCCCAAACCCAGGGACACTCACTGTTGTCCAGCGTGATAAGAAAGATCCTCTGGATCATGTGGTTGACGTTGAGCTGCTCACAAAGCTCCTGCCGGGAGCGGAAGGAGCGGCTGATCTCGGCCACCGAATCGTCATTGTCCTCGATGCTGTCAGACACAGAGTCCTCCGACTCTGAGGGACTCTCGTCAAACTCGTCCGCTACAACACACACACAAACATACCATTAGCCTGACATCATACAAACATCAAAACAGACATGACACTGGCACAGACTCTGCCAACTCTGACGGTCTCTCCCCAAAATTACCCACTACAACACACACACACTCTTAAAATACCTGTTCAAACAACATGACAGCCACTGTGAAACATGCATCATATTAAATGCCGTTATCCTGATATCAAAGAAACATCAAAACAGGCATGATAAACAAAGAGATTCCTGTCTCTGTCCATTAAAACCCTCAACACCACCTAGGCTGAAATATCTGTAAGCTGTAGCAGTCCTTCTTGTCACTGATCACTGTCACATACTATACTCAATGGCCCTGCTTACACTAGGTTTTAAAATATGTCTTGGGCGATCAGATTACAAGTGTGAACAGCCACCAGAACACATTGCTATCCGATCACTTGCTGAGGTGGTCTGTGACACATTCCACCACATATCTTTTGCAGCGTAAACGCTAATGCCCGATAAAAACGTCACAATTACCCAGCGCGTGACAGACACGTGTAAATGACGATGTGTGTCGGCTGTCTACTTGTGATCCAATCACCCAAGATGCATTTTAAAACCAAGTGTGATCACGGCCCACGTGTGCATTTTTTGTGCAATTACTTGATGACTGTATCTGTTTTTGCTGTCGGTGATGTTATTATGATTTTATACTGCAGACACTGACGTCCACTGGGACAATAACATCCATCTCAAATTTAATCTTAACAGACTAGTGACCACTTCTAGACCAATGCTGCCATTAACACATAAACCACACAGTCAGACAAGCAATCCACTGACTCCAAATCAGATATCACTCCATCGGGACAAAACCACAAACTCTACAGGCAGGCCTTTAGCCGACCGCGTGGACAATGACTTACATGGGGGTCCCAGATGTTCCTGCTGTTTCTGGCCTGATGCAAATTGTTTGGCGTCGGCGACTGAGCTGAAGAGGGCGGCGAATGGGTTGCAAGAAATGTTCTGGTTGTTGTTGCCCTGGTCAGTCATCGCGCCGGAGCACACACTGCGTTCCCGGGCACCGCAGGGCAGCCTAGACACATAGGACCATGCAAAGACCACACTGTGCTGGCTCATCTCTGGAGAGGATTCCACTATAATTTTACCCTCTGTAACAAGCTCTCAAACGGCATCCTTTGAGGTATCAATTTGCTGTTTGGGTTAAGGATGTTGCCACAGCATAATACCAGTGATGGAAATGACCGGGGAGAATGGACTGAACATACCTCAGTGCTCTGTTTGCCGGGGCAAATGGAGCAGGCTTCATAAACTCCTCTAAAGTTATCATTAAAGGAAGTACGGAATGTCTGGGGATAACCGCGTGATTTTCAACATAATGAACCAGCCAGGTTATGAAACTACACCGACATATGCTTAACATAAGCTAGTATATAGTTCATGTTAAAACTAATAAGTTAATTTGGTAGCAATTGCAAGACCAAATTTGTGATTCGAACAAAACCTGTTTATTAACCTAAGTTAATGTAAGACAAGACAATACGACAAAACACTAGGACGACAACACGAGAATACAGCACTACGGTCACGTGCCAATCACAACTGTTGTGTCTGATCGATCGAATCACAACGATCAGCATCTAGTTAATAAACTGCCGATCCTTGTCAAGTGATTACTTTCTCCTTATAGACTATTATTATCTTCGTATTGGAACAGGATACCGAATGGGAAACCGTAAACAGCCGCCACCCTGACAGGACGCGCAGCCAGAGAGCCTGCGCTCCGCTTCCTGACCTGGCGTGAATACGGCGCTGAGGAACCAATCAGTGAAACGTGGTCAGACACGAAGGGGAAAACAGCACTGACTGATAGCCGTAGCAGCCCGAATAAATATGCCCGTCACGTTTATTCCCCCCTCCCTCGCTCGAAGCGCCATGTCTTGCCGCCAGCTAGATGCTGGAAAGACGCACAGGTAGCTGGCTTCCTGGCTAACTAGACATCATTATCGACAAACCTGAAACGGAACAGCTGCTGACACCGCCACCTGTGAAATCCTGTGTAGACTGCGCCTGGTATCCGAAGCTGTTGTCACCGCTACCTGACTCACAACAAAAATAAATATTCCTCTTTGGAGCTACGCACCGTCCTGCAGCTTCCGAAAAAAACAGACATGCGTATGGCGTCATCAGTATGCGACGGGAAAGGGCTTAAAGGGGAGGTCAGCCGCGACTGGAGTGTGCCGACTCCATGAAGGTCCTCCTTGGGTTGGGTCTATATAATTTCGGAATCAATTAATGTTTGATGAAATGAAACAGATGCCATCAAGTGGCCCAGACAATACAACACCTTTCCGAGTTTTATAACCGAATATATATATATATATATATATATATAAGTCAGTGTTATTCCTGTTTTCTTACCAGTTTATTATATAGTAAAGCTAGTTTTGCAACAACAAGTGGGGGTGCATATGTAGGGTTGCAAGATTATCCATGTCAGGGAGGAAACCTTGAGTTAGAATTTATAAACTACTACCCGAATTAAAAGTACCTGGATTCCATTTAAGCACTGAGTTCTTACTGTGTGTTGATTGGTTAGTCCACTATAATCATACATGATAGTATGAATCCTTTTATTTTTCCATTTGCTGAGGTACAGAGACATTGGAATGCTTCTTTTGGCCTACCTCATCTTATTCTCCTGGGGTGGGGTGGGGTGGGGTGGTGTACACAGTGCATAGTCAGTTATTAACATGCAGCATCCCTGGAGCTGGGGGTTAACAGCGGTGCCCAGCCCCCAAACATGTGACTCTTCTGCAGAAACCAGGACTGGTAATCTTCAGATCACAAGCACAGGGACTTAAGCGACTCACTGCCCCCTACTTGTCTCACTAATGTAAATGTGAAACAGCTGGATGAGTTTTCCAATCAAGGAAACAAACCAATCAAAGCACAAGAAGAACTGAAATATTTAGCCAGGATAGGTGCCTTTCAGTTTTAGTTTGTAAAATCTGATATAGTGTCATGGTCACCCCAGGTTGTGAGCAGGATTAGCAAACTATTGCTCATTGTATCCATGTAATATTATAATGTGTATTGCATTTTAACCTATTGTGGAAATTATACTGTCAACAAAAAATTTAAGTTGTCAGACACATCGATGGCTGAGTTCTATACAGGCGTAATAGAATCAGTTATTGCATCCTCCATCTTTGTCCGGTTTGGCTCTACATCATTGAACTGTAAGCAGAAACTGCAGCAAACTGAGTGATGTGTGGAGAAGATCGTTGGCTTCTTGAAGACCTGTAGTCATCAAGGATGAGGATCAAAGCTAAGACAATAATGTGTGACCCATCACACTCTGGTCACTCCCTCTGCCAGCATCTCCCTTCTTGGCAAAAGCTGAGTGCAGGAGTCCTGAGCATATGAATGAACCAGCACCTGAAGAGAACATTTCCCCAGGCCACTGGCCTCCAAATGGGGACCCATGTGCACACTGCCACTTACAGGACTGTTTTATATCTAATCAATCACTGTACAAATTATACACTCTTATAGAATCCATGTGCTTTTTTGCATATAACCCAAAGCTGTTTGTACCATACAACTGGATGTCTCAACTTTACTTATATGTCTACATTTACCAATTAATCTATTTCAATATGTATTTCATTTTTATACTATATATTTTGTACTTTTCGTCTTGATAGTATGTTTAATTGCACATTCATGTCACCTCATGCTACCACCTGCACCAAAACAAATTCTTTGTAAATTTTGTACTTGGTGGTGAGTAATAACATTCTGATTCTGGTTGTTCATATGCAGCGTCAATACAATAGCCTTTGTAGTGTGAGTACGTTAATTCAATACAGCTTCACAAAATATATCTGGAGGAAAGTGTTCATTTTATTTACATTTTAAATTATTACATAAATATCAATAGAAAAATAAAACACTTTTCAATCATTATGCAATTAGTGGTATGTTACATTTGTCTAATGCTACTGGCCCAGTTAAATATGGGGGTTTTCAGGATTCTAGGTTGCTTTACACCTCTGGCATCAGGGTTCGAGTATGGCTCCACATGTGTGGAGTTCACATGTTCTCCCCGTGTCATTATGGGGTTGCCTCTGGGTGCTCCATCCCCCCCCCCCCACTGTCCAAAAACATGCTGGATTTTCCACATTGTCCATTTGTGCGAATGGATATATGAATGGCATGTGTGCCTTTGATAGGTTGGTGTCCGGCATTCTGGGTTATTTCCTGCTTTGCACCGGTAGCTTCTGGGATCTGGACCCCACCCGCAACAGTGCATGGGAAAGGCAAGTATAGAAAATGGATGGAGGATGATGGTGGATTATGACTTTTTCATTCCCTGAAAATACATTTAATATAGAATTTAAATATATTTCGGCTTTTTCTTATAGAGTCAATGTGGTACACTATAACTTGGAGGAGTTTAGATGATCCAGCTTGGGCAGGAGGATTCTGTACTGAGCCTCGACCATGATCTGAAAGGTCATAGCAGCTTCATTGATCATCCACTTCCAGACCTGTCCAGGTCTTCCAGGTGAGCTCATCGGAGGTGGAGCCTAGGTTATCCTATAGTATCTGGAGTTACGACTACTATGTATTTTCCTGTTTACACAACAAGAAATAGCGTCACTCATGTCAGGGTGATTCCTGCGTTATCAAAAAAATGAATTTTTTGGAGTCTCTTCTCTCTGAAAAGCAAAAATAGAACAGATAAATTAATTGTGCTGTTCATTCATTATGTGGGAATATTATAATAGAGTTGATGCTGAAGATAATCCTGGCATTTGGACATATATGGAGAGAGGGATTATGGGAAGCTCACTGCCCACAATTTATTTTTTATTTTCTCAGCATTATGGTTCCTCCCGTTTTGATTGTGTTTGTGCGGCTGCGCATGTGTTAGCTATTGTCTTACCTTAGTGCTTTGAATAATCACCCCTGGTCTGATGGCCACCCCGCTCCTCTTCAGAGCCTCATATCCCCACCTCTCCACCACCAACATCTTCAGGGTCTCCCCGCCCTTCTTCACTAGCACCACCACGTCTTCCAGATACTCCTCCTCCACGTTCATCCCATTGACCTCCACCACCACATCACCCTCAAAGAGTCCGGCCTTCTCGCCGGAACCTCCTGCTGCCACCTGCAGGACAGGTGATATAACTGCTTTTGTTAACAAATAGGAAGTTTGATTGAATCTCCTTTTATTGCCTCTCATTTGCAAGACACACTGTGTATTAACCAAGATTACTAGTACATTGCTAGCTGTGTTACCCTTCCCGTATGCTAGGTAATGGCAGGTAAGCAAACCGACTGGAGTAAAATTGGAGTAAAACTGGTCCAAAATACTTCAGATTGAACTTATCATTTCTCTGTCCAGAAATATGACGATTAGATAATTTTTTAAATAAAAGATATTTCTTAGTCTTTTTCATTCTTTTACCTATGCTTTGTCGATATTACTTTAAAAAAATCATTGAAATTACCCATTGAAATGCAGTGATTTTTCAGTGGTTCACCCAAAAATATTGTTTTTTCACCCTCAGTTGTCTCATAGAAGCTTCCAAAAAGCCCATTAAACAAGGTCCCAAAATACAGCTTGAAAAACAAAGTTTTCCTGGAGATTACTAGCGAAATTCCACAATTAACGGCGGAAACATGCTGTGGAAATGAAAGTGAGTTCCCCATTCATCAGGTAGAATTTGTTAGATAGATAATGATTGCATTTTTTGTCTCTTGAATTGGCATCAAAATAAAACATTCCGACTTATTAAATCTAAGCTGGACCCATTTAAATTTTTACCTACTGGTCCCTACTGCTATAGCCTTCCCTCCTCACCCACACCTTGTGGCGGAACTGGATTAAAGGGGCAGCACCTGGCTTATGAAGGTGCCAGGCTCAGACGGGACGCAGCCCAGGTGAAAGCCGAAACCGCTGCCCCCCCTTTCCAAGACGCACAGCCTCGGGCATGGAAGGTGAGCCGGGGTCTGCAGAAGGAGCTCGTCCGGAGGCGCAGCGGGGGGGGCTGGTGCACAATCTTCCGGCTCCTCCTCAGGGAGGATGTCATCACAAAACAGCAGTGGGGACAGCCCGAGCTTTGGAAGAGGAGACATGCATTAAAGTGGGGTCACTTATGGGTTATTAAAATATCCTAATATAATGAGACTGAGATATTTTATTCTCTATTAGTGGAACGATATTTTATATTTGTTCAACACACATTTTTCCATACGTGGGATAAGAATCACAACAATCGTGATTAGCACATTCTCACATTAAATAAGTACATTTCTACACCAAATTAATAATCACATTGTGAGCTCTTCTTAAATAAATTTAAATTTCACTGCCAATATTCTGCAGCAATGGTTCCCAACCTCTGGTCCAGTATTCCGCCATGTTTGCTGCACGGCTTGGTTCATTTTCAGATATTAACTATATATAAAATATATATTTTAAGATGTGTTTGTGCATTTTCATCATATCAGAAAAACAAAAAGAAATGGCAAACGTATTAAATCTGTCCCACCGACTGAGCTCCGTGGCCTGTCGTGTTGTATCACCAGCACCCCCCGTCGACAAGTTTTATTGGTCTGGGAAATTTTTGCCTGCCCACAGTCCAAAAGGTTGGGGATAGTTTTCCTACAGGACCATCCATCCATAGGCCTGGTCCATCGTACGCACAATTTCAACACCATTACTATGTGCGATTCTTGCACCTATTACCACATTTCTTTGTGAATGTGCACAGGATGGTAAATTTGACTTTGGGCAATTTAGAGATGCCAGTTCACCTGGTCACCGAGTATTTTTTTGGACTGTGAGACAAAACCAGAGTGGCAAGGTGAGCATTGCAAGAACACAAAGGTGTGAAGCCTGGATGTTGCCCACTGAGCCACAATACTGCTCTACAGGAAATCCACAAATTCCAAAAGAGGAACTACAGAACACTCCCGATTAGAGGTGGGGTCGTAAAATCATACCCACTCGTCTGTTTGCTTTTGAAAACCTCCGATATAACCTTTTCATTTAAAAACACAGATATATTTCTGGCTTTTATTATTAAAGTTTTATCAGCTAGCATAAAATTATTTTGTCGGTAATTTTTTTGTGATTGTTAATCACTGCGTTCTTAATTACATTCCTAAAATTATACAGGCACGGGCCCCCGGATGCCCCCTTCCCCCCCCCAGTTCGGCGGCCCATGTTCCTACATCAAAGGCACAGCCCTGTAGCGCACGGGAACATCACAGTGAATACCAGAGAAGGAAACGGCGTCTCGATCTTCAGTCGGCACAGGGCTGTGCGACTCCCCCACCTTAGAGTAGAAGTCCGCGCCCTGAGGGCGGATGGTAGTGAGGGTCACGCGCCGGCCGCTCCTCCGCACCCGCAGCACGATCTCCTCATGCTCCAGTGCCTCCACAGGCTCTCCGTTCACCGCCAGCAGCGTGTCCCTGTCACGCATGCCGGCCGCCTCCGCCGGGCAGCCCGCGTCGATGTCACGCAGCACGTGGTCTGAGGGGGACACACCCATGAAAGCTGAAAAATGTTTATGATGCTATTTTCTGACTGCCAAGTACTATTTTACATTCAATGGCACAGGACAGTTTGATATTGGGGGGGGGGGACGACGACGACGACACTATTTAATAACATAAAGGCAAAGGTCTATTTATGGGGGGTTGAATGAATCAAAATGAAATATTAGGGGGTTCATGTCACCCCTGTTCCCCTGGTTCCTACATCCCTGTTTGTAACCCTGTATTGTTTTGCACCGTCTCTACTGTTGTGTGCTGTTTTGTATTGTTTTGCACTGTCATAATATTTTGCTCTGTTTTGTATTGTTTTGCTGTTTTGCACTGTATGTTTTGTTTTGTAGTTTGTTTTGCTTTGCACTGTCTATATTGTTTTGCACTATTTTGTATTGTTTTGCACTATTTTGTATTGTTTTGCGCCATTTTGTATTGTTTTGCACTGTCATGCTGTTTCGCACTGTCTGTTTTGTTTTTTGGACCTGTTGCATATGGCCAATAAATATCTTGAATCTTGAAATCAGTCATTATTTACATGAAACAAGAAAACACATTAGTTCAATGAAGTTTGTTAAATGATTGGTACACTCTGAAATCATGACTGTACAGGTGAATAATCCTATTTAACTTTGTGTCTTTACGTGTGTTAGGCATTGACTCCAGCAGCCATATGCAAACTGAGATTTCATGTGTATTTGCATGTGTTATCCTCACTGAGGCGTCCAGACCGCATCTTCTCCTCCCTCAGCAGGAAGCCGTAGCCGCTGGGCCCCTGCTCCAGGTGCAGTGTGGAAGGGTGGTGGGGCAGGTTGTGGGTGGTGGCCATGGAAGGAAGGATGGGGTGCCGGCGGCGGGCGAAGGCCCGCTCGCTCTCACTGTCAATCACCAGGACGGTCACGTGGCTCCCACACTTCTTCATCTAAAAAGTATGCAATGTGTGGGGAGACAGCATGGCAGAGGATGGGGGGGGCTGGCTGTGGGGGGAGGGGGTCACGGCCTACCATATTTCTTAGTGCTGAGTGGGCGAGCCCCGAGGTCCTGGTACCATTGATCCACAGCAGCCAGTCTCCTTCACGGACCCCTGATCGCTCAGCAGCGCCCCCTCTGGCCACCTTCACCGAGTATCGACCTTTCTTCCCTGCACACCCAGTATCCACAGAATGGTCATGTGACCTCCTCTTTGGCCATTGTCCTATTTGCTGGGATGTGTCATCAGCCCAACAGGCCAACCAGAGACACTGAACCTGTAAAATATACCCCCTAATCAGGGGTATATATAGGGGCATGGCCACACAGGGCACCAGCCCCAGCTGAAACCTGATTGGTCCCCACAGTATCACTCAAAGATTCAAAACACTTGATTGGCTAATGATAAGGTTGACTCCTTCATATAAATAATGATCCCACTTATGTTCCCCATCTTAAAAAAAATCCTAGAATCAACGTTATCCCTAATAGTCCAGACCATTGACCCCTTACCCTGGACAGGGGTGATACTGATGCCCAGACCACTGCGGGGGTTCCTGGTGATGTGACAGAGCCGTGGTCGAGCACAGCCCTCTCCCAGGTGGGCTCTGGTCAGGTGGCGGAGGTCGCGGCCCTCGGAGAGCACCTGCTCGTAGTCCGCGCCGCTCAACACCAAGAGGCACAGCTGTGTCCCACACACCTGTATCTTCTGAGCGACCTGACCTCGGAGAGGGAGAGGGCAGCGGTGAGTGAACGTCAGCTCGCGGTGAAACGCTTACAACCTCACAACCTGACGCGAGGATTCAGCACAGGATGAGGGAGGAGCTGCACAGTGGCGTGGCCAGTCTGCAGAGAAGACCAAAGCCGTTAAAGAGAAGTAGAATGAGAAAGGTTTTTATTGGCCAAGTACATTAACATCCAAGAAAACCATCTTGGCATGTGTTCTCCAGTGAAACATACACTAATGGCTAAAGTTGTGGAAGTTTTAGGGATTGCAGAACTTTATTCCAGTTACTGCAGTTACTTACTTAATTGTTCAGTGTATGATATTAGTAACATTCTTTGATTGTTTATGAACATCATCACCAACGTTTGTGTAGTAATTTTTGAAGCGCAATGGCCAAAACGGTAAGTGCTTGCACAATTTTGGCCACTAGAGTGCAACATGCAAGATAATTACAGGACAATGTACACATGGAATGTTATACATACTTTTAACAGTAGAATGTAAAGAAAGAAAGAAAGAAAGAAAGAAAGAGTAAACAGCGGTGATGTTAGGAAGGGTGATAGGATGCAATCTGACTAAAGTGCCTGTTGTTAGCAGACTAATTACTGTTGATGAGAGACACTGCCATAGGAAAGACACTGTCCCTTTTGTCTGGTGATTTTGGCTTTGATGGCTCCAGAGTCTCCTGCCAGAAGGTAGAGGCAACAAGAGATGGCATCTTGGGTGCGAGTGGTCGCTCTAATCTTGCTTGTGTGTTAATCAGCTGCACTTATGACCCAGTATTGCAGGTTCAGTAACAGGACATTTTTGCTTTTGTAAATACCTCAGTCAGTATCCAGATACCCTATATATATAAGTATACAGATACGCCTATTAATTAGGTGAATTAGTTAATTAAGCTACACCCATCGCACATCCGGTGTATAATTAAGGGCACAGTCATACAAGTTCCAGCAGCAGAAGGCACATACAGAAGAGGATAGTGACTTTCATTTTGGCACCGTCATCTGTCCAGGAAGTCGGTTCACCAAATTTCTGTCCCGCTAGAGCTGCTCTGATCAACTGCGGGTGAAGTGATTGTGACGTGGAAACATCTGGGAGGAAATCCAGCTGCAAAATGGCAGTCACACAAGGTCACAGAAAGGGATCTGATCACCCAGCAAAAAAATCCCACCAGCAATATTCCGACATCCAATGGGAAAGCTTCCCAGGACAGCAGAGGCTATTACCGCAACAAAATGTCGGCTAACGTCATCTTTATACCACTGGACTCGGAATGGGATGTCAGATTAGCTGGCATCTACCAGTGGCATTGCCAAGATGCCATTCTGTGGTCTGCGTTTGTGTATGCCGCTCCCTGGTGGGCTGGTGAGCAGTTGTCCACCTGGGTAGTAGCAACGCTAAATGCTAAATGGCGCGTTCTCTCTGATGGCAGTGTCTGGAAAGCTTCTGGGGGGGGCGGTAGACAGTAAGAGTGACCCCCCCCCCCCCGCTCACCCTATGGTGGCTGGCTTTGCCTACGAATTCCCCGTTGACCGCCAGCAGCCGGTCACCGTCCTGCAGGCCCCCGTACTCAGCCACACTCCACGGCTCCACTTTCTGCACAATGTGGCCCCGGCAGGCTGTGTCTAAGCGCAGGTGGAACCCAAAACTCTCATTTGGTGCCCTCTTCAGGACACACAGGCGTGGCGCAGGCCCCGGGTCTGGCTCTGTACAGAGACACAAAAGGCGAAAGGGATCCCTCCTCATATCCGGCACCGTTGACCTGCACAAAAAAATATCCTAGTTTCTTTCAAAGTGGACATGTTTGGTGGGTAGTGATGGACAAAATGACGGTTCATGAACCATTTGCTGTATTTTTTGAGCCCACTAGATGGTGCTCTTGGTTTACCTTGTGCCCTTTTTTGAACAGAGAGCACCATCTAGTGGCTCAAAAAAATACAACAAATTTTGTCCTTCACTACTGGTGGGTCACCTCACACCTCTGGGGTGGGGGATTTAACTCCCGACATGTATAATCCACGATTAATCATATGACCATCATCCCACTAACCTATATATTAACTATCCCAGTGTTATTCAAACTCAGTCCCCAGGGACCCCCATGCAGTACACATTTTTGCTCCCTCTCTGCTCTCAGCCAATCAAGAACCCTGAATACCTGGCACAGGTGTGCTGGGAGCTGGGAGTAAAAATGCTGACTGTCTGGAGGTCCCCAAGGACTGGTTCAGAAGCACTATATTAAATGTAATAAATTATTTAAGTCACAGCGATTGGTTGTTAGGTTTAAAATCAGCTAGTCAACACGTGATACAATAACATGGCTGCCCTCGTTGCCGCATCAGACAAAACAGTTTTTGTTTATGTCTTTCAGTGTTTTGGTGTTGGCATATGTATGCAAACACTGGCTTTAGTGTTTATTTCCGTGTTCATTTGATACTGGACCATTGCATATGAAACGCCATGCAACAGCTATAAATACATATAAATATATGTTCGACTTATGAGCAAATCGAAATGATTCAGCTGCAAACGCACCAAAAGTTTGCCTTGAGAAGGATCCCTGACTTGTAATTTAGCTAAACAAATAAATAAAGCAAAGCAAAAAAACAAGAGAAGCACATCTTCTCTGTGGCAGGACTGTACCTGCATCGTCCGAAATGACCAAAGCAGGATTGTCAATGCCCTCCTTCGGATTGAATGTAAATTTCCTGAAAGCAAAGGAACAAAGGTTTTCTTTTAGTTGTTAAATGCCTGATGTAGCTCCAGCTACCGCTATACTGTCAGAAAAAAAGAGTTACCAGTTTGTACTTATGCTTGGCATTGGGGCTGTAACCTCAAGGGTCTGCCAATTACCCTTAGCTGAAGGTAACATACAGAAATGGACCATTGTGGGCCCACAGAGTACAAACCCAGACCAAGATTTTGTTTCAACCAACCAGTTGAGTATAAAGAGTTACAGTCACAGAGTACTCAGCTGGTTGGTTGAAACAAAATCTTTGTCTGGATTTGTACTCTGTGGACCTGAAATCTCCACATCTGGGGGAACATTAATGTTGTTTGTATCTGCGGGATGTTCCCCAGAATCCATTTGCTACATTTTCCCACAGCTATGGTACAACTGGCAGAGCCTTGAGGTACAGCTCCAGTGATAACCAAAGCTACTCTTTTTTTCTGACAGTGTACAAGGCGTCTTGCAGTTTGTGACAAAGTGTAAGATTTTAACATTAACCAAAGCGAGACCAGCTCTTATCCAGGGTGAAACACCTTGCATGACTTTCGTGGAGGTAAATCTGTGACTAATGGCCGCTTATCGGCGCAGCTGCCCCCTTATCAGTGCAGCCGTATACCGGACCGCTTCTCTATATTTTCCTGGAGTCAGCAAGACTTCATTTAAAGGGCTTTTTTCATTTATACTGGAGCTCAAAGACCCTTCAGCGGGTCACATAGAAATGCTGCGGCTTTTCATGGGGTAAATGTCAGGAGAGAACAGAAGTGGTAAAATCCTTGTTCAATCCAAAGGCACCACTGTGACTTACTGTGGTAAATCCATTGTGTCAGTGGGCCCTAAAATAAGAGAGAAAAGAAGTTTTGAGACAGGATGTTAAGGTTCCTCTACTGCAAATTATCCATGTGGAAAAAAAAAGAAACGTGCTGACTCATGAGCAGGTTGACCAGAGTGCAGAATATTGCATAGAACGGAAAACAGCTGTTTAATGGAAAAACCGGCTGTGGTCTGGGATACAAAGAGACTCTTTATACAAAGTAAATTGAATTCTGTTGAAGGTGTATATTACATTTATTGAGAAGATGCTTTTATCCAAAGTGACACACACACACACACACACACACACAGACAGATATATATATATATATAGAGAGAGAGAGCGAGAGAGAGGGAAGTGGGGTCAGACAGTTACTGGAATAACTGAGTGTTGTGCTTTGCTCGGGGGCAAACATCGAAATTGCTCCACTGACCCAGGGTTTTGAACCAGCAACCTTCTGATCACAGGCACAGCACTGAGCCACGCACTGCCCCACTGCAAGTATACCTTGTAGGACCCCCAGTGGGTGTGACTGAAGCCAATGAACCCTCTAGATCAGCACATTCTCCTTCTTGCCTGGCCTCGGTGGGGCCGACTCAGTGACTCTCACTCTCCATGTCCTCTCGGCCCACGCCTGACACTTCACACTCTTTTTCGCAGCCGCATCCTACAGCCTGCATCCTGTTGTCTGGCTTATGAGCCGCCTGCAGACGCCATCGTTAATGACACCCGACTGGTCCTGATAGGATTTCCCAGCAGGCTGTTAGAGCCTTAGAGCTCGCTGTGTGCATTTGGGAGGAGTCCTGTTAGAGTCCAGCATGTTGTAATTATACGGCATCTAGGGGGTGAAAGTTCCAGTTTCCACTGACCTCTGTTTGCTTTTCTTAATAGGCCATAAACCTTATGCTGTGTTTGGTTTTGTCTGTAATAAAGCGATTCTTTAATTAAGCCCTGAACCTCTGTCCGCTTCACAATCTGCCACACAGTGCACTGTGAATATCCTCCCCCCAGTTCTGCCAGTCGCAATCCCACCTTGCCAAACCCAACAATAACCCCTCACCCCACAGTCAACCGAACATCACCAGCTGTATGTCGACGTATCAGAATGTTACCAATAAAATTTTGTGATGCGACTGGCACACTCTGTCCACTAGGGGGCACGTGAATCAGCCAAGCTTCTAATTCCTGGTTTCATTTCTGTGCCTCTGCTTCCCCTAAGGATGTCAAAATCCATTGGATAATTACAGCATGTATCAAACAAGAAAGTAAACATATTAATCTAAGAGATGTAACCGAGGAAATCACTTAGCAACATTTCAGAATCAATTCTGCAGGTCTTACTACTCAGACAGAAGAGTTTAAGCAACTGCCCACTCTAATGCATGCATATCTGACACAAAACACACACTCATTACAAATAAACCACAACTGACAGAAACAGACTAAATCTACAGTGAAACTGAAACCACAGCTGCTGGAATGATTGGAGAATTCAGAAACTTTTCTTCCGTTCAGGAAATCCATCCATTAAAAGGAAAGCACACAATCAAATTGTAATCGTTCCTCAGTGTTTTTAGCACACTATTGTTAGATAGATTAATTAATGATTAACATGACCGTGGTTTGTTTCGATTACTCTGCATGTCTATTTAGGTATCTGGTATGAGGAGGAAGGAGATGTTTTCCAGAATGTGAGTGAGATAATAAACCAGGCTGTGCGTAACACTCCGCAAGCCACGAAGAGAGATTTTCCAAAACTCACACAGTCCGTTTTTTGCTCTTCTTGAGATGAGTCTGTTTAGATGGGACCACCAATAACCTAAAGTTAGGCTCCCTCATCATATGTTACAGCACTGGCAACCAAAACTCACTCAGTCCTCAGGTAATCCAACGGAACACTTTCGTCAAATTTGCCAAAACCACCGAAATCCACAGAAATTGGTCTCATTGCGTTCCATCCGCATGACAGCGCCCACAAGCATCTTTACACGGCCGAGGTCTCGGTCATAACAACAGAGCCAGCCTCCATCAATTAGGCATCAGACCATAAAAAGAAGAAGGCATCTACAGAGGCAGTTCGGGGAGGAACTGGAATCCACAAATCCACAGCCTCCATCGACTAACTCATTGAAAACGTCTCTTTGTCGCTCACATTATTCCCTGCACAGGTGTCATTCTTGATAACGTTCTGTCCAAAGGTTACAAAAAAGAAAACGACAGAGATGTGAGATTAACGCTGAGCAGTAATCCCGCAGTAATCGAAACGCACGGTAGGATCAAGTGTCCCGCCGTCAGTCGTCAAACACGGCGATAGACCACCACATGTGGGCAGAGCCACAGAATGACAGAGAGATAGAGGGGAAGAGAGAAAGTGGTTACCTGTTCTCTGCTTTGTGTTGCGTCTCCATCTTGGATGCCCTGGCAGCTGAGCTGGGGGTAGGACGACACCGACAATGGGGACACAGCACCTGCACAGCCGTGCCAGCGGGACGCGGTAACTCCACCTTAATTAATGTTTAACCCCACCCACGGCACACTTTGTCCCCGTCCAAGGAGCCGGTTCACCCCTCGTAAAACTTTACTGTTGCACATAACTGCAGCGCGTTGCAGGGAAGTGCTGGAAAATTCTTGGAGTGGTGGTGGGGGGGGGGAGGGCACTGAACTATGGAGGGGGTGGTGTTTACAAGATGGGCCCCTGGGCTTCCTGACAGGTATGGTGGGGGTGTCATCACTCATTAACAAATCTAGGCAGGGAGCCGAAGGAGACATCCAAGCTGGTGATTTCACAGTGACGGGGGATTGGGGCGGGGTGGCTGACACAGGGAAACTCGCTAAAAAACGATACAGGATTGCCATATAAATATATGCTTTTATTATAACCATTCGAATAGAATTTGGTACACAGAGGTTGCATTTTTTTCAAGGCGGGAAATTCAGACCAACCGGCGACGGACAAAAATGAGTGACAGTCGGACGAGGAGGCAGGACTTGGAGGAGGAGGAGGCGGAGCCTGTGAGGGTGGTCCGCCGTGCTACAGGGGTGGGGCTGTGGGCCCCACACACAGTGCAATGTAGCTCTGACACATTGGTACTTAAGCAGGTCAGGGTGGGGCTCCGGTCCAGTTCGCCCCTCCCCATCCATGCCGTCTGCTCTTATAACCACCAGCATATAGGTGTTAGACCACAGATAGGCATCCCCTTCATCCATGACCTGGATCCAATGTCACGAAACGCAGCAAAAGCAATAATGACGACAGCAACAGCAAAAAAAAAAAGACAACATTGCGCCAGGGACATGGGGTTAGTATATACCGAGAAAACAACTGTATTATTTTTGGTGTAGATTCTTTTCAGAGTGCACATTCAGCAGTACAAAATATGCTACCATATTGCTTCACATGCAGTTTCGAAAGATCTCTGGCCTGGAACCCATTTCCTCTCACTGTCGATGGACAAAAACATCACAGAAGGTGACGACATACAGCTGGGCCCTTTAAATTGGAGCATCTCAACCGTCCACCCCGCCGCCCACGGCCAACAGGGCGCGCGCAGACACTTCATCTAGAAAGATGCATGCTTTCTGACTTGGCCCCAGTGGCACTCAGCAGACGCGCGTCTGTCCACTTTGTCGACCGCAGGTCGGAGATTGGCGGCTGCCCTCGGGCTGGTATTGCACAGTCGGGTCTCCGAACGCCACGCAGTGGGAGAGGGTAATGGGCAAGTCTCTTACTAGGGGGGAGAGCAGCCGAAAATGTAGGACAGCCCGGCAACATCCTCCTTTACCGTTCCGCAGAACATTCCGGAAAATCTGCCATTTCAGTAGCCTAACTAAACTGTCACTCAGATAAATCACTTCATTTAAGTTCATGTCTCTTAAACCAACTTGTACTTGGCGGGGGGGGGGGGGTTCTTAGAATTATCAGCTCATCTCTATTTTTCACATTTAAGATATTTTTAAAATCTCTTTATTGGGACAAACCTTTCTACATACTCCTGCTTTAAATGATTAATAGTTTGACAGATTCTTGAAACATATCTAATTCAGCTTGTATTCAAATCGTGTTTTCATCCTAAACCTGACCTGTGCGATTTTTTAAAATTAGCAACAAAGAAAAGAATATGCATATCTATGAGGTGGACACGTCCTCGTTAAGCACACTGTCCAATTGTGTGAAATCCACCAAGTTGCGACCGTGTCCGTAGCACATTGCTTTACGCGTGGATGACGGTGTACTGCCCCCTGTAGGTTAAACCAGGGAATCTTGTGTTCCTTGTCAGCAAAGATGACGCGAGGAGCGTTTCCGTAAGGCACGATACGCACGACAGACAGGCCGCTGGATATTGCAAATAAAAAGGTTGACTGCTTATTATTGTCCTGCGAGTCACAGATGCTGCCATCCAAGGCAACATCCACGGTTTAACATCTTAATTGGCTCCACAGCTTCATTCATCACTGAAGATGTTCCGGGAGGAGAACCTTGGCATAGGGCCCTAAAGCAACAGTGTGACATGACCTACCTCGGAACCTTCCAGTTACAAAGCTTCATACCTCCATGACATCCCCCGCTGCACACTGACTACGGTTTGCGGTAGGGAAAATAGAACCCTTTCCCCAGCCCCCCCCGATGAGACACCTGGACCGGCAGTGTTTCCGGGGCCACGTGATGTTAAAGTCCTCAAACACCCTAAGGCGCCCGGCCCCGTCCACTCAGAGAAAGACCTTCATGTCGGAGTCGGATCCCACAGATCGACATGAATCAGACAGACATTAAGAATGTGACTAGACACGTGTGAATGGGACCAACGAAAAATGCTAAAAAACCTTGATCATGGGACACCTGATAGGGGAGTAATATTAGGGAGGTGGGGATCCATGACTGTACAAGTCTGGTTAAATGCTAAAGGGACATAATACAACATATGCGACATATTTGACATAGATATAGTGCTGTTTGAAGCAAGACCTGAAATATGTACATATTTCACATACAAGAGAAAGAAAACTACGGAAATGTATGCGTCTGAATCCTCGAGCAGGGAATAGTCACTGTGAGCTATACACCAAAGCTGGGACCCATGCGAGATGGGTAGCAGCCATGGCGGAGACCTTTCACATCTAAACACACCTTCTTCCAGCTCCGGGGCCCATCTCAGCTGTCTCAGAGACGGGGCGAGGTCGGATATGCCACCGTTAGCTTAGGGGAAATCTGTTAATTGATCCATTGTTTTTCGTTTTTTTTTTGCTGACATATCAAGAAAAAGATTACGGTCCAAAATTTAGAGATAAAAAAACAAAGAGTCGTCATAAACGGAGCTATCCATAATGCATCTGGGAAACAGACTCTGTCGGTTGTATATTCAATTTTTCAATTTAAATTAAAAAAAAGAAACATTAAAAAATAAAAATACAAGACACGTGACAATAAAAATGGATGGATACATGTTTACATCATAACACATTTACTGTACAGTCATTACATATTCATACTATTATTGGCATCATAATTGAGGAAAGGAACTTGTATAGTTTATATTATTAAATAAGTTTGCATTGCACTGAAGCGAAGAGGATCTCTAGGGTAAAAGTTTTTTTTTGTGTGTATGTGCGTGTATGTCTGTGAGCTTGTGTGCGGGGAGCAGGATATGGAGCTGTGTCGAGAGGTTTCTTTCTTACTGAGGGGCAGCAGCACGGCAACGCACAAGTCTTGTGACATTTTCTTTCTTTTACAGACATCAGCCAGCCGGTGCATCAGTACAAAATCAAACACACACACACACACACACACGCGAAAAAGACCCAGTCAGCTAAAACTTCACACACCGATAACCTCCTAGAAAGTCTCCGGGTATTAGTTAACTAGTCATGTTATGCGTAGTTCCCTGGAGTCTGTAGCTCTGTTTCCACAGAAATAAGTGCTCAAACACAGATGCTTTTATGTCCTGTTCTTCTAACGAAGTCTGATGGCAGGCAATGCATGGCCATTTGGATTATAGGTCTATTTCTACAAGTGATGCAAAACAGTAGAATCAGTCCCCTCTTTAATTACCATTGGTTGAAAATGGAATTAAAATTTGATCAAATTCATTTCTGACCAAGCACTCAGCTCACTCTAAATTCTGCTGCCCCAAGTGACTGTTAAGGGAAACTACAGCCTATTCCAAAGGATGCAGAAATAGGATCTCGTCCCATGGTGGAGCAGGTGAATGTGATCAGAGTGCCTTCTTAAAGCAGCCTCGATTTCCCCCAGTTCTGTTCCTCTGGGATTTCGGAGGAGGTATAAATTCGAGAGAAGCTGGAGAATGCGCCATGACCGACCACCACAAGGAGGAGAAGGGCAGGAGACTCCGGGGAGTGTGCTGGCTTACGGTTTCGGAGAACGTGGAAGACAAGCCCTTCACCAAATCTGCACAGGGAGAGCTCAGCTGCCATCAGGAGCTGTTGGGTTCTAAGGAGAACCGTCAGGTGGTGCTGGTGAGACCTTCTTCCATCGTCAGGGAGGTTTCCTGGAAGCTCGGCTCCTGAAGCATTTCTTCTCAGTGGCTGAAGGCCACATAGGAAGGCATGATGCAGAGGCTGGAATGCAGGAGTGGCAAGGCCCCATCGAGGTTTTCACAGACAGCATGACACGGGGACATTCTCCTAATCCCCCATCAAGGACACCAGACCCACGAGGGATGAACAGAACCCGTTTAAACAGAACGCCAGTGTTGCCATGGTAACTCGCAGTTAGATGTTTCCTCACTGGTAACTGGATACTGGGAAGCGAGTCCCTTGGTTTTTGATTGGTGTGCTGGAGAAAGCTGCCTCCTCTGAGAAGCATCGCTTTCTAATAGTCTGTAGTTTTGGGAGGATTCCAGTTTTGAAAAACAGGATGTTAACAAAAAACCCTACATCTCTGAAAGATCAGTCCATTTCAAATAATATGAAACAGATCACTGTCAAACTGACCGATTGCGTAATAATTGTTAAAAATATATATAGGAAGGGGTGAAAAGTACACCTGACATTTATTTAAGAAAATTCCGTTGGAATTCCCTTCTGGAATATTCATCGATGCTTCTTACATCAAGGGTGTGGGATCCAGATGATATACATTACAGACACTTTGTTGTTTAAACTGAATTATGTAACAACCCCAGAGATGATGACAGCCTTTTGTTTGTTAATTGCAAGGCTAGCAGTAGGTAAAAAAAAGTCGTAGTGTCGCTCCTCTGTGCTACGTCTCATTCCTTTGCTTTAGTTCCACTGATCAGTTCCCCGAGGATAATGCTGAGCAGCATCCCTGGAATGCTGGTCAGCCGGGCCAGAAGGAACCAGTCTGTGACAGTTTAGTTCCATCTCTGCAGCTTCTACAGTCAGCCCCACCAGTGTCCACAAAAATATGAATCAAACATGGATAAAAGGACCACTTCCAAATCTGATGCATCTGACTGTTTTCAAAGATAGAAAATATGATCTAAAATACCATGTGTGACTGTTTTATACATGAGTGATGTAGTCCTGGGGGGGGGGGGGGGGCTTGGGATGCCTATCGTTCTGACTTGACCTTGTAGCGAAGGACCAGGTAGGTGGCCAGCCGTAGGACTAAGAAGAACACCCCCAGAACCATGAAGTCCACATAGAGTTTGGCGTCCTCTACATCTAGCAGCTGGAGCACCTCCTCTGGTTTCTGGAACTTGCAGACCTTCATCGGGCACTCCAGGTCTGAGCGGTTCAGCCCGTAGATGGATAGGATCACCCCTTCAAAGCCGTACCTGGTAGGAGACAGGAGGTGTTACTGGAACGGCAAGGTAGGGCCGTGTCTGTCACAGAGAGCTACGTAAAGCCTTGGAGCTGTTGTGTGATCAGCATGGTGGTAATCAGTTAGCTTATGGACACCTGTACACGTTCATCCCTACACCCCGTGATACCTGCCCCACCCTGATCTTTGGAACGAGGACACACCTGACATAGGACACATAGGAGCTCCACTGGAGGTACTTGGGGATGGTATCAAAGTTAACAAAGAATCCAGAGAAGAGAAGCACAGGAATGGCAGTGACAGGACCTACAAACGTGGCCACCTGCAAATGGTGAGGCAGATACAGAACAACATGTTTCCATAAACAAAAAACAAAACCTGCTGCTGGAAGGAAACGAGTCACCTTTACAAAGTTCTAACGAATCTGACACCCAAGAAATCAAAGGAACCAGAACCCTTATCTGAAATGGACTTCCAGGCGTAAAATGGATATGTTTTGTTCAGATGACCAGGTTTACCTGAAGTGAGGTGGATGCAGCTCCAATCAGAAGCCCTAGAGACTGGGCAACCAGGGCGGTGGAGGTAGACAAAGCCATGAAGAGCAGGTAGCGGCCTGCTTCCGGGGGCTGCTCAGTCATCCAGTACACGATGCTACAGTACATGATGGGGCAGATGACCTGAGGGAGACCCAGAGAGAGCGTGGTGGGTTTGCGTGGTTCAACCGCCCGCTTACCCACAATACATTTCTGCTCAGGCCCAGCTCACCTGGAATGGGATGTCTGCCATAGTCTTAGCCAAGTAGTAGGCCTTCAGGCTGTACCAGTAGTTGAGGTGTTCCCTTATAAACACAGACATCTCCAGAGGGACTGCCAAAGAAGTAAAAGCAGATGAAGCAATCAGTCAGATTCTAGCAGTCGTCTCATGTGGAATTATATAATTCCTTTGGTGATGTATAGTATACAAAGACTTTCCCAGGATTGGTTTCAGGATGGATAGTTGATTACCGGAAATGGATGGATGACAGAATTGACTTTACAGCTCCCATGCCCTATCTGGTGCTGCTACCCTCAGTAGATCCTACCTAACCATACCCAGGCCCTACTACCCCCCCCCCCCCCCCCCCCCCAACTCACATGTCAGCACAGTAGGCATCAACGCCGCGAACATGAGGAAGAGCATGGAGAAGAAGAGAAAGCCAGTGTTGTTGAAGACTTTGCTGGCGTCGTTGCCGATGTTGAGGTACAGTAGGCCGATAAGTACCCCGATGGAGATGTGAGACATCACCCTGAGGTGGGTCAACACCTGGCGAGAGGTCAAAGGTCACTTCATTGAGATGACCACCACCGTGTGGAGTAGGGCATGTGTGCAGCTCTGCCCACCTACCATGTCCCTGCAGATCGTGATGAAGGTCCTCTTAAACAAGATGCAGAACTGCGTCAGGGTATTCGTAGCAAAGGTGTGTTTCTCAATATGTCCAGAATCCTGTAGGGACGGATCAAAAGGGTTAAGATGATTCTGTAGGTGTGTTTGCCGATTCACCCAGTAGCACCGGAAAGAGTGGGAGGCGACGATTGTTTGGGGAGCTACACTTACATTGTGACACTGTGACAGACTGGAGGACGCCGGGTCATTCTTATCACTGGAGTTCTTCTTGCTTTCCTGAGTACAGAGCCCCCCCTGCACGGCCTCAAACAGCACAGGGTTCAGGTCGCCGTACTCCCCCGAGGCCACCTCAATGACTGAGAAGCAGGAGGACGAGTCACGTAGAGCCAAGGGCTCGCAGGCTCATAAACCTTAAATAGATTCCGCCTGCCTTTATATGGCCTCTCTTTATCACACACACACACACTTACATTTCTGTCATTGTGGGGACTTCTGATTGACTTTTACTTGAATGCAATTAACAATTTGAAAATGAAATGATGCTTTATTTGTTCAAGTACATTGGAATGCTTGTTTTTTTGCATATCCCATCATGCTCTCCTTTGAAACATAAGGTTTTTCCCAACAAGCGTACTTGACCGTACTTGTGCGCTTGAGTACCAGTCTTAAGTCATTGTCCATTGCCGAAGACCAGTTCCAACACTCAAGAACAGAATTACAGAAGCTGGTAAAAATCCCCGGATGTTGTTCTTGCCACACCCCAAATATCAAGGCTACATTGGTTGCATCTTCGCCAAACAAGACCAATCCCACCGCGCCTCAAGTTCATTCTCGGGAGGCAAATTAGCAAGACCAGTCTTTCCAAGAGTACAAGTATGATCTTTGCGTTCTTGGTATTGAGAAACACCCACACAAACACCCACACACACACACACACACACACACACACACACACAGAGTTTAGAGCAGAGCTAGAGGTCAGAGCACGGGGTCCAACCATTTATCCAGCACCCCTGGAGCATTTTTGGAGGGGGCCAACAAACAGGCAGCTATTCTGCCAAGGACAGGACTCAAACCAGTGACCTCCCGATCATAAAGGCAGAGGCTTACCCCACTTAGCCACCAACAAAATGCATTTTATATTAAAGGGAACATTTTCTTAAATTGTGTCCCCACAAAGACAGCAGCTGTAAGCACACATGGAAACACATGTAAGGCACTGGGACTGACAGACTCAGGACTGCCATACAGGTAACTTACTGAAATCTGCGGGGTTGTGGTAGGTGGGGCAGTGCAGACCGAGGCCCTTCAGGTAGGGGATGAGGTACGTGACGGTGCCCTTGTAGATGCACTGGCCCTGGCTGAGGATGTAGAGCTGGACCGGATGAAAGGCACAGGAGTAAGGGGAAGACAGAACTCTACACATCCTGCTTCTCCCCCAGGGGAGCCCAACTGCATATACGAGGTGTATTTATGGGAGGCGGGGAGGGGCCTCACCTTGTCGAACATCTCGAAGAGCTTGGCGCTGGGCTGGTGGATGGTGCAGATGATGGTGCGCCCACCCAGGGCCAAAGACCTCAGAAGGGACACCACCTGGAAGCAGGAGGCACTGTCCAGCCCACTAGTACAGCCAAAAGGGCACAAAGACAGGGGAGGGAGGGGGGTCAGGGGTCACTATTGGATCAAAGTGCCCAATGTTCAAGTACAACTGTAAGCCGAAATCAATCAACCAGCATGATTTGAGGAAGCACACTAAATGATTTTCCTTTTGACCGCACTTGGCAGACACTCTCTACTTTTGGGGCATAGTACTGTACTTGTTAACTTTTTCTCAAATGTTGAAAGAAATTTTCAGAGATTTCTGATTGATTCGGTGAAGCAAGAATCACACTAATATCCAAACAGGATGTGCTGTTTATTGCAAGTCTTGGTTTCATATCTTGTGATAGAAACCGTAGTAGTTCACTGTGTGGCTTGACTAGTACTATCTAGCTACGTAGGCGAAACCGGCCAATGACTACCTGTCTAGCTCAATGGGCTGGCAAAACAAGGTATCCTACGTGACGGTTATCACTGGTATAGCACTGTGTAACTTGTAACTATAAAACTCTATGTATTTTTCCTGTAGTCATCAGACTAGTTTGCAAAACTTTAATGCTAGAGGTTACAGAAAATATCATTTAGTAAATTTACTACCAACATGTGCTCAGGCTGTTTTTGCCATTTGAAGGATTCCTGCCAAAATTGGTACTACATCACCTGAGATTCAGTCACCATTATCTCAATTATTGTCATCTGAAAGACTGCTTTTAGACTTATACTCAAAGCGACTGAAAAAAGAAAATTCAAGCCCATTGTACTTTTTTTCTAAGATTTTTTTGTGAGATCCAGGTTAACCAAATCCAGTTAAAATCCTTCTCTTTCTTGTATATCTGATTCAGGTAATACAAAGTGATTTTCCTGTAAATTGGCTGTCCTGCATGTACATGTGAGGTATAGGTCTTTGCATAAATCCAGAGATTCCTTGGGTATTTTGGATTGAACCCAAGCAAATCATAATGTTATACTGCCCCGGAAGGCTCAGCCAATCATACGACTCGGAGAGTGTGAGAGGTACCAGCTGGTATAGCGACAATCGCCCATCGGTCGATGGCTAAAAATCAGACGATATTTACTGCCCTTTAAAATGGTGACCCATATTATGTTGCACCCTCGCGTACTAAAGTTTGAAAAATGTCTCCTATGTGACGAGAATAAAGTTCGGATAAAGGAGGCTGCCGTACTGCCGAATAACGCCAGTCTGTCAGTAAGGAAAGCATTTCATAGCAAAAGAAAATTCAGACAGCGCGAAAGGTATTACTTGGAAAATAATCACACTTGATGATCAGCACTTCTGTGTTATAAATGTTATAAATATATAAACTGTATACAGTTATAAACAAAGATGCACATAACTGGTATGTAAGTACACATTCACCTTACTCACCATACTTATGTACTTATTTTATGTGCAATGTGCTGATATGCCAAGAAATTACCGTGCATTTTCACCTTTATATGCTAATTCGTACTTCATTTGCGGTATACAGGTTAAAATGCACGTTAATTTCTAGTCATAGCAGCACAAATGCACATAATATAAGTACGTCTTGTGCTGTTAAAACAATCGATTGCCGCATGTATCGCTTTTAGGTGAATGCGCACTTATGTGGAAGTTACACTAACAGTCAAAAGTCTTTGCACACCACAGATTTTTCACCACTATTCATTCTGTTTCATAAACTGCGGATTTTTTATTCTTGTTAAGCATTGGAAAGTTGACACTTTTTACTGGTGTATTTGCATCCCTGGTTATAAAATACAGGACTCAGGGATTGTTGTTGTAAAAGGTGAAAGTAATTAGTCATCATTGTTGACACCTTATAGTACACAACAATGAAATGCATCCTCTGCATTTAACCCGTATGTCACACTGTGACATAGGGGGCAGCTAAGTCAGCCCCCAGGAAGCAGTGCTAAGGGGTGGTACCGTGCTCAAGGCAACTCAGTGCTACTTTGCTGGTCAGGGATTCAAACCAGCAATCTTTTGATCATACACATGCACTATTAACCTTTAGGCCACCATTGCCCATCGTGCTAGAGTCACTGTTATCTTACCAAAAAATAAATACTTGTTCATATTTTTGGAACATTATTTTTTTATTTGGGTTGACTCTCTCTTTAAATTTGTTTAAGCAGAACTTCCCAAACTATCGGTATCGGGGTTAGATTTTTAAATAATCAGCTAATGGTATTAACCAGAAATATCTTTATCGCTAGTTTTCTCCCATTTATACAGCTGGGTACAATGAGAAATACCTTATTCAGTGGTACAACAGAACAGTCCTTCCTTGGACAGCCTCATTTCCTCACCTGGTAGGCTCATCAAAGAACATAACTGGCGGGTTGTTGACGAGCTCCTGGGCAATAGCTAGACGCTTGCGCTGCCCCCCCGACAGGGAGATGGTGCGTGTGTGGAGACACTCCAGGAGTCCTAGTGCTGTCAAGATCTCATTCACCTGCCGCATACAACCAGAGTGTCACACGAGCCCTTCCGCCATTGGCTGGTGTGTGGTCACGTGACACAGTCATCACTCACCAGCTCTTTCTTCATGTCCATGTTCTCATCCAGTTTCAGGTTGGCGGAAACCTGAACACAGGGAGATATTTTGCTGAGAGCTCACATTGAACAGCAAGGTACCAGAGTCCCTTTTTAAACTGTAGTACAGGGAGAAGTCTAAATAGTTTTGGCTGTGTAGCAGGGCTATTCAACTCCGGACCTCGATTCCAAATCCAGGCCGTGTTTTCAGTTCTCCCAGGTAGATAGTTTAATAATTACTGATTCTCATTGGCCATAGGTTTCATACCTGGGTCACACGTGAAGGAAGGCTGCAAAATCAGTAGGGCTTGAACCTTGATTTGCATATCCCTGCTCTATAGTGTATTTATCTATATTTGGCAACATTTGACATTTGATTTGCTGAACAAACACATTTATCCAAAACAGCATGTATTTTTGAGAAAGGAGAACCAGACAGTCCTGAGAGCTTTTTTTTGGGGGGGGGAGGGGGGGTTAAGAACCGTGCTCAAGGTTGAGAGCACCACTATCAACCTGGGGATTTGAACCAATGACCTTTGGATCACAAATGCAGCACCCAAGCCCGGTGAGCCACACACTGCTCCCCCAACAACTGGCGAAGGTCAGACTGCTTCTGTCATGCATGGCTGTCAGCATTGAGCGCATCGAAAACACTGGTCTCCCCCACAGGAGTGGAAGGCCTACCCTGACCTTACCATCATGGCTTCCCGCGTGGTCAGGTGCGGCAGCAGCATGTCATCCTGCATGATATAGCACGACATCTTCCGGAAGGTACGCAGGTCCCGGGGCTTCCCATTCACCAGAATCTGCCCCTTCATGCCTGTCTCCCTGTGGGATAGGCAGCAGATGTCAGGTCGGCCCCAAGCACCACTGCCAGCGACCTTTATATCCTACGCAGAAGGTTCTGGAAGGTTCTGTGGACCCAACCCCGACCCCTTACCTGTAGCCGGCCAGGATGTTCATCAGGGTGGACTTTCCAGCCCCTGATGGGCCCATTATACCGATCAGTTCACGGCTGCAGAACCTTCCGGAAAGACACTTGAGCAGGGCCTTGTAACCTGTGAGGGGTAGAGGGACATAGACATGCTGACACCGAAAACTCCCCCAGTGCCCTCGACTACTTCCTAGAGGCACCAAGGTGCCCGTTCAGTCCCTTTTATGTCAGACCTTGAGGCCTGTTACATCTCAGTATCTGCAGACCTACGCGGGTCTCCCAGTTAGGGAGGTACACCCCCCAGGGGAGGCTGGGACTTAAGAGCCCCCCCCCTCACCTCATGGGTCTCTCACCGCGTCCTGCAGAGTGGTGTCTGTGGCTCGTGAGAGCCAGTCAGGAGCCCGGTCTCGTCCGCGGCGGGTGCCACGCTCTCCGGCCACTCTGCTGATCTAATTACATGCCTCTCCAGCACCTCTGTCAGCTTGCCAGACCCTCTCAGCTGAAAAGCCCATTACTGGGGTGCTTTTTTCAGCAGCAGGCCTGCAACGTTACCCTCCCCACCCCCAACCGCTCAGTACGGGAGCACTGAGATAGAAACCGCTCAGCCCCTGGGTGTCCACATGCTCCAGGGGAGAATCCCAGGTCAGAAACAGGCGGGTGTTAGCAGCTACTGATGCCCACACAGGAGGCTAACGTGATGCTATTTCATAGGGCATGAACAGAACTTGGAATGATGAGGCCCTAGAGGTGCTTGGGCTGCGTAGAATGATGACAATAAACAGCCAGGGTGCCTCTGAAACAGTATCGGCTTAAGAAAACCACTGCACACCTAAGCAGGCCTTTGCCCTGTGTTTCTGCAGACCTCTGTGTGCCCTGTGTTTCTGCAGACCTCTGTGTGCCCTGTGTTTCTGTAGGCCTCTGTGTGCCCTGTGTTTCCTTAGCTCTCAGTCTGTCTTGTGTTTCTGTAGCCCTCGGTGTGCCTTGAGTTTCTGTAGCCCTCAGTGTGCCTTGTGTTTCTGTAGCCCTCAGTGTGCCTTGTGTTTCTGTAGCCCTCAGTGTGCCCTGTGTGTCTGTAGCCCTCGGTGTGCCTTGAGTTTCTGTAGTCCTCAGTGTGTCCTGTGTTTCTATAGCTCTCAGTCTGTCTTGTGTTTCTGTAGTCCTCAGTGTGCCCTGTGTGTCTGCAGACCTCTATGTTCCCTGTGTTTCTGTAGGTTACAGTGTTCCCTGTGTTTCTGTAGGCTGCAGTGTGTCCTGTATTTCTGCAGGCCTCAGTGTGTCCGGTATTTCAGTGGCTACACTGTATGCTGTGCTTCAATAAAACTGTAAAACGACTGTAGAAGATATAGCAGCACCCTCATCTGCCACTGTATGAATGTCTTTATGCAAATTGAAGTTTTATAACAAAACTCGTTAATTAGCCACTAACGAGGACATTTGCTGAAACAAAGCTGCGCCATTCAGGAGATTGAGAGCTGAGTGGTCGGGGGGGCAGACACTCCGGGAGGGATGGGTGTGACCATCAGCTGTCAAACCTGACATCAATCCACTGCTCTGAGCACGTCCTCGGGGAGCCAGGAGCCGCAGTGTTCAGAATGCCCTTGAAAGAAATGGATGTTCCCTTCAACAGAATGACAACTTTTGTGAACCCATCTTTTTGTTGTGGAAGCAGGAAAGAAATAAGAGGACCAGAAGTAGGCTTGATGATTTCTGTCAAAGTCCCTGGCCTTGCCTCGCTAAATTAGTCTTTCCTGGGAGACATCAGGAGTTTCTACTGCTCGTTCTCCTGGGATCCCTGCCTTTGGCACAGCACCTCATGCCCAATACTCTTCTCACGTGTCCTACTTCCACTCTTATGTTTCCTTTATCGGATCTTCCAGAAAGTTCTCCAGCAGCCCAGTGTTCATGCTGCACGGCTCACAGTAAATGTGTGCCTGCACACGCGTAGTAAATTCACAAAGAAAAGGACATTCCGCACTGCATAGAGATTCTGGAACCCTCACCTCTACATGTAGCACTGGATCCATTGAAACCACTGATATAGGTAAATCCTTATGGCATCAATAATCCGTGACAGAACTGATGAAAATATCTGATCAAAATGATCTTCTGGAGAATATGGAACCTGGATTGTGGATCAGTGGGTCCAGTTATAGGATCTTCAACCAAAAAAAAAAAAATGGAAGAAGTAAAGTGTAGCTGAAGACAAAAGGATTGATTGAGGAATTTCAGGCCCTCCCTGTTTTGGTGGCACCTCCTTGGAGACGCCTTCATCCAGGTTAGATTATATCCCATTTCCGAACTCAGAGCAAAGGATATTTCTTCTGTCCTGCTTCATCAATTGACCACGCCACCAAACCATAACTGTGCACCAGCTCTGGTCAATTGCAACATATTCAGAGCGAAACCCGTTGAGCAAAATTGAGATGTGTACAATCATGGCTCTAAAAGACCTCACCCTGCATTGTGGACGAGCGTCATTCCACCCAGCCTTGAATTCCCATATGGCCTGATGACCACAAACTTCAAGCACAGTGTGTCCTCCTCCTGTGGTTATTATAGTCCACATGTTTCAAACAACATTCATAGGCTTCGACCTTGAGCTTGCCAGGCAAGCGCTAAACATGCAAAGAACACGATTTCCTAGCTTAATTCGGGGATTTCCCAGCACGTCCTTGATCCGGATCACCCACTCCCAAGCAAGCAGAGCCCCACCCATCCCCCCTCACATTCCTGAGTTCCTACCCCACCCCTTCCACACCAGCCATTAAGGCCTCCTTCCTGCAGAATTCATTTGCTCTGCTCCATTATTGATGACCTCAGCTGTCTCGCCTGTACGTTTACTGGAAGCTGGCGGAGTGCTGCATCTCGCAGGGTTCCGGCGGCCAGCACCACGCGCTCGGCTGCTCAAGGTCACCGAGGTCACCTCAGATCTGGGCCGTCTGTCTCCACAGCCTTCACGTGACCGACGGGTGCATAAAGGCGGCTTAGAGACCTCGTGGGATGTTTGCATTTGCGGAATGATATTACAGCAGGCTGTCTGTCAGCAGAGCTATATGGTTCTTGCTGACTAAACAGCATCGCTAGCGCCCCCTTTTGGAGCACGCTCCATCACAAAGTTTCCTTTAGCCCTGGACACCCACGATCAACGCTCAAAATAACAACACACCTCAGCAGGACACTATATAAACACGCAAGCAGCCCAGTTGGGCAAAACTGATTTATTGACTGATTTACTCATTGCCGTAATATGCCTTAACTTGACTCTACACAGCACTTCCAGAATGAACAAATTGCTCTATTTCTGCTTTCGCCAGGCTGGTGTAATGAAAGGCAGAATTCTCTGATTTCGCAAGATACCACATGAAAACGCACTAACCGACTGAGAGATCGACTGACTGATGCCAGACAGATTTACTTTGGCAGGGAAAAAAATGTTTGAATGCGTGATGCAGTAAAGGGGGGGGGCAGGGACACCTGCCAAAGAGTTCATTACAATTTACTTAGTGAGCCGATGCTTTCATCCAAGGTGGTAAAAGATTGAAGGCAGGGTCAGGCAAAAGAGGGAGTTAAGGGTCTTACCCAAGGGTGAAGTCACTCTACCAACTATGGGATTTGAACCAACAACCTTCTGATCTGCAGCACAGCAGCCAAACCCACTGAGCCACATAACACCCCCCAGCTATGGCACTGGTACAGCTGAGCCCCTACTGGATAGTTTCTTAACAAAGCAAGACCTGTGTTCAGGGGGAGCTGAGCTGTGGGGGGTATATATGGTGTTGGTGGGGGGGAGGGGGATGAGAACAACCAATGAGAAGGCTTGGCTAGCAGATACCTTCAGCCAATCACCCTGCATCTAGGAGTAGGACCGACGTGTCTAGTAGCGTGATGGGGAAAACTACGATTCGATACACACCGTTCCCTTGTCTATGTATCTAAGATTTATTTTGATAAACCGAAATAGAATATAAACAAAGTTGGAGAGGACTGCATAGCCAATGAGACGTACCGGGAGCAATGACGCGAGGTATGATCCCAAACAATACCAAAATAAAACATTCCTAAGAATAGCAAACAAATCATACTGCACTGTCGGTATGACTCCGGCCTAAACGAGTAAGGAGAGCAAATACGGTAGCAGTCGGCACAGTGCTCATGCATCACCGAGGGAGGGGGATCTAGGTAGAGACACACAGCAGGCTTTGAAGGACCGCCAGGAAACGGCAGCCCTGTCCGCGAGACGCAGGGGAGCCAGGAAACGGTACGCATCACCAGTGGCGAATAATTCACTGTGGCGGAAGCCAGCCGATGAAAGCCATTTTGATTCTGGGAAGAGGGGTGGGGGTGGGATGGGGGGGTGTGGATGATCATCAGAATGCAAAGGAGAGGGCAACGAGTCAATGAGCATACGGAGAAGAAAAAGAAAATCACGGGTTTCTGAGCAGATAGAGGCGCGATCGCGCTGCGGTGACAGGAAAAGAGCAGTACTCCCTATGCCTGTCAAAACAGCCAATTATCTTCTAAGGAGCACACTGACAGACAAACACAGATTGACAGATGAACAGGCATGCCCAGAACTGCAGGGGAGACGGCCAAAGGCCAGCTAATATGGCCCAAAAGACAGGGACCGTCTGAAAATATTTTACACTAGAATAACATTTATTGTTGTGAAACCCTTGTTTGCACCGGATTTGAGAGGATGCTTTGCTGCCTTAATTAAGAATACATTTATTTCCCTAACTTTACGTTTGACCCATAATTTTTTGATGCTTCAGTGCATTAATTAGCAGAGCCGAATAAAATGTCTCTTAACGGCAGTAACAGCATACTAACAGTTTCAGGGAGGATGATTAGCAGTCCAACATGGAGTCGTTCCTCCCACTGATGTCTGCCATCAAAAACGCCCTTAACAGAGGTAAAGGGACTAAGTGGTCTTAGCTTATGGGAGTTTTACTTACACAAAAATGACTGGTTCAGAGAGGTAACCAATCATATTATAGAGGAGGTGGGTCTAAGCAACTACAGGAGGCAGGACCAGGACATCTGATTGGATGGCCTCCTCTAGTTGCTTGGATCCACCTCCTCTACAGTCTGATTGGTTTTCTCCCTGAATCAATCATTTTCCTTCTGCCCTCAGAATTCTTTTGTGTGAGTAAAACATGAGTACCGTGAGCACCGTCTTACCTCTTCGCCTCCAGCACGGCCCCTCGCGGATGGTGTACGACAGCTCGGTGAACTCCAGGTCCACGGCAGAGCGCCGGGGGAGGTGAGAGAAGCGTTGGGCCTCTGTGATGTGGTTCTCGACCTTCTTCAGGTGCGTCAGCAGGGATGGCTCCTGGCCTCCCCCATTACGTATGGACTCTTCCATTGGGATGGCGACTGACCCAGGCTCCAGAGACTTCTCAGCCATACCAATACTCTACAAAAAAGGGGGGAAGTTGTAATAAAACTATGAAACATGACATATACTCTATATCACTTCACCCATTCAACTTTTTAACAATTGACTTTGAAAATTCCTTGCTTACTGTTGTGAACTGAATAACATGGAGATACTGAGGGCATATCCCACAGTTAATTTAAATCTGCTGTACTTTGCTCTTTAAGTAAATTTTACTCCTAGAGTGCTGGAATGTTCTATGTCTAAAATTCCAAGTGCAGGAAAACATTAATGCATGGTTATTAAACAAACAGCCAACTTAAGGTGCACTTAAGTTGAAAACATTCTAACCTGAAAGCACTTTGAACTTTTGCAGTATAAATTTACGGTCCAAAATAACATAAAGCAAAGAGTTAGTCACTTTCCTCTCACGCGTGCATCGAGTGTTTCGTTCTAGAACATCTCTCTACCACATGGGTGTAGCCATACACTTGCCCGTCCCTGACCAACATTGTCAGTAGGACATCTCAGCTACGCTGGGGCCGCAAGCATCCATAGATTTTGTGTTTGTTTTGGGATTATGTGGACAAGCCAGGAGGCGAAACAGAGAATGTGAATGTGCCTCCATTTGATCTTCAGATCAGTGTATCTAGGCCATAATGTTGCAGTCCTGCGTCTCTGTGTTTTCCATTATTCTGGTATCCCTCCTGTTTCTCCCATTTCTTCTCTACACTCTTTGTGGGGGGGGGGCACATCCCATCTATATGCATATATATTTATCCACTTTCTTTGTGTATTAGCAACTACTGGTTCCATTCTGCACCAAAAAGGTTTTTCTTTAAGCTACACCTCTCAATTCTTGCTCCAGATTCTCCAGTGAGTCACCTGCGAATTGTTTTATTTTTAAACGCACCCTTTATACTTGGCGTCCTGGCTTGACTGTCTAGCTGGCAACATAAACTTAACACTGTGAGGTACTTTGTCCAGTTTGAAATGAACAATTTGGAATGATGAAATAATAAAATAGCAGCAGTAAGACCAAGAAGTGGGTGTGGAAGCAGAGCCACGTGACTTTACGCTGGGGGCAAACCATTGGCTGTCTTTGCTTCAGTTTCATTGGAGAAAAGGTGAGAGGGGGTGTGGCTCCATGCAGAGGTATGGCAGATGGCTGGGAGTCCCAGCATTGTATTACTACAACAATTTGATTCATGATCAGGGAAGAAGAGACGAGTTCTGCCATCTTGTACAAGAACAGCTAAAACTTGGGGTGAAAATTTGTGATGAAGCCAATGGTAGGAACTGGAGCTTGAGATGTTTTAAGGTAGAGGCGGAGTTAACCTCATCATTAGGCAATGACATGTTTTGAATCGGTGACTGACAGCGGAGGGGGCCAATCAGTTTCCAGCCTAGAGGCCCCTGACTGGAACTGGGGGACTCATTGTTTCTGGACGCATCTGCAGTCAGAAATCAATGTAAACGCAAAAATGGTGTTTACAGATTCTGACCTTTGACCCCAAAGGTTCCACTACAAAGACAATAGCAAATACCTCAGAAGAATCTAAAGCTCCTTTAGGTTCACAGGCATGTGACTTACATGCCATTTGTGACGGTGGTCGATGGCGCAATGTGAACGTGCTGGATGTCGTTTAAGTCACGCTACAGCAGAAACGGCAAGTGCCGACAGTGATTTGAAAGTCTCCTCTCCTGTAGTGCAGGAAATGCATGAGCCTATCAAACCGGTGGGAGGTATGTGTTTGAGGAACATCTCAAGGGCCATTGCTGGAAAACCTGGAGAGGGGGGCATCTGGGCTGAAAATAGCGGCCTGTATCTATAATGGGTGCCGTCAGAAGAGGCGCCGAGGGCACGAATGCCGGAGTGATGTTGGCCTCGCCGGTGCCCACTGCACCACACCAATGGGAGATCAAGCAGGAAGACACCCTCCATTTCTGGCTTCCTTCAGCTCCTCACTCACTGAGGGGAGACCTTCACAACGGTCCAGCGATTCCCCAGGAGGCGGCTGGAATTAGCTCCCCTTTGCTTTGTGGAGGTCTTTCGCCATCATGGTTCCATAGTGTAGTGGTTATCATGTCTGCTTTACACACACAGAAGGTCCTGGGTTCGAGGCCCAGTGGAACTAGTTGTTTCCTATAGGATAACAAAGGGATTCTAGTCGTTCCCCTTTTAGAAGCAGGCAGAATAACACGAACAAAAAGGGGCTCATGGTCAGAGTGTCTCAAAAGTGACAGAGTGCCCCCTTCTGGGCCCAGCCCTCAATAACATGAAAAGAGAAAGCAGGACATTCCGTGTCAAATACTGTCACACTTACGAGGCAGTAATCCATCAGTTATCCACATGGGGGGGTTGGATTGGAAATAACATAGAGCTTGTTTTAAATGTACACCCCCCCCACCCCCCCATGCCATTTTTCTGTTGGAGGCGGCATCTGTTTGCAATATAAATAATGCAGATACAGCAATTACAAGTAGCTAGTGACCCCCCCTCCCCCCGCCGACCTGAGTCATCAGTTCTGCACCTTCCAGATGCTTTCAAGCACCTGACGCTTCACCTCACAGTGAATCACCATGAGAAAGCCCCCCCCTCCCAGGTCACATGACGAGGGACAGAGATGACCGTGTGACCCAGCGACTTCAGACCAGCACTGGGAGAGCTCTGCTCAGCTCCTGGCTTGCCGACGAGCCCTCAGCACCAAGAGAATGGGGTCAAAGCACATTACGCCCCCTATGGGCCACGATGCCACTCCCCATCGCACCACAAATCCCCGTAAGCCAAATATCCTGCCACACTCACACTAGGGAACACAGTCTGGGGTTAACTCCTGATCCCCTACTGTACAGGGAAAACAACACATTTTATGGATCCATATTGCTGCCGCCCCCTTCCCTGCCCCCCCATGGCACACATATACTGCCCATCCTGTCCACACACAGCAGTGGAATCAATGCACCCGGATACTGTTTCATCCAAGACGCGTCACAATGCTGAATCACCAAAAAAACGTCTGTGTATCCCCAGAAGCTTGGTGTGAAGAACATCTTAATGCATGATACTTAAGAACATGAAATGCATGGCATGCTATGGATGCTAACCAGCCCGGGCACTCCGCAGGGTCACCGTTAACCATCACGAGGGACAAAATCCTTAGAGAAATGTCCTCAGGTTTGCCCAAAGCCCCAAATCTACAGTAGCATCCTCTTCTGACATGAAGTTATGGTTTTGTAGGGGAACTAGCATCATCGCTTCGGTCCTGAACCCCCACACGGCACGCGTCTGTTGTGTCAGCTCGCTGCTCGCCAGGCAGGGCACAGACGTCACAACTCACAGTGCCGCCATGTCACAGGATGACGATCACTCTCCCAGTGGTTCTGGGCGACTGAGACGCGACTGAGACGCGACTGAGATGCGACTGAGACCAGCAATGCTAAGGGCCAGAATCTGATATCTACACTGCCTTTGATGCCACCACTGAAATATGTTACAATAAATAAGTATTATATAGACTTTCATATAATGAATCTGGATTATGATGTTATGACCACAGAAAGCAGTCTTAGAATCTGCGGTTTAAACCTAAACTCTAGGATTCTCCCAAGAAAAGACATAGATGAATCAAAATTAAAGCCATATTGGGTTCTTTGGAAAAATGGGGGCGGGCTCTTGTGAATCCCGCACCGAGTCTGGTCACTCCTCAGTACCGGCATTCAGAAAGAACCTTCTGGATGAGCCAATGGCGGAGAATCCACCGCCCACCAGGTCACAGCAACATCCGACTGCCCGGAGGGGGCCGAGCCGGCGTCCTCTTTGCGGTTCCGGTGCCCCGTGGCTTTTCAAAGGAACGCCAAATGTCAGCGCCTACCACTGGCGCGACTGAAGCGATGCGGAGCGACGCGAGTGAGAGTGTGTGGCGGGCGGGCACATTCACCACCATATGCGGCCTGGCCACCGAGAGCGGCATGATCACAGACTGACTGGCTACGAAGGAGCGCAAAACACTGTAGGAGGTGAAAGTAAAGTCTAATCCACAGAGTCTTTAGTCAGCAGGAGGCACAAAAATGGCACAAGTCCGGATGATCGTTTGCATTGATCACCAGCTCTGTGCCTGAAGACTCCAGCCGGTTCTGACAAGACTAATTGACTTGGTATGTGTTAGAAAGGGTTAGCCGGGTGGAAGAAGGAGGAGATCTGGCGCAAGCCTGCAGAAAGACTCCTCCGTGGTGATTCAGAATCAGAATCAGGTTTACCAGCCAAGCATATGCACACACAAGGAAGTTTTCTCCATTTGTCAATGGTTTCCATACATACAGCAGATACATACACAGTTAAGACGAGACTATGGTCATATACAAAATCTGGTTCCTTGTGTCGATTTAAACTTTCCTGAAAAACTGTAAATCGAAAAAGCATCAATCGAAAACCTAGTTGCATTACTTTAAGTGAGAATTTCTTTCATCCCACAGAAGGGTGTAGTTTACATTTTTTTTGTGTCACAGTTACATATAACAGTTGCACATACTGGTTTGGCGATCAAGCATAACCACCAACATGGCACTTAAACAGAACGTCTGACATACTGGACTCCTGGACCCGCTACTCTTCATAATACAGGTTCTGCTGTATGGCCAGTCCCACATCTACAGTACACAACACAACACAACACAACCAAGCCACATGCCGCATGCACAGCACCAACACACACAACATACCTCAGTAACCTTAAAACCAACAGTATGACAGAGTACCAATACTACTCCCACTATTACTACTGTAACAGCAAATTAATACTATTACTACAACTACTACTAATACTACTACTACTACTAGTACTACTACTACAATATTGTTATTATTATTACTATTAAGAAGAGCTTCATCGTTAATGTTCTAAAGAGATTTTGTTAAGTTACCTGCCCAAAAGAGGTTGCAAAAGAAACAATTTGATGTAATCAATAAAATTGTGTAATAAAGCTTTATTGTAGTGCAAAGAAACAAAGTAATAAAATTTAAATTCTTATATCTCAAACGAATTACTGAAAATCAAAGGATTGCTGTGTATTTTTTTTCCCCTGCAATAAAATACTTTTTGAAAGCAATTCAGCTGAAACCTGGTGTTCAGCGTCTCTCCCGCACCCTTGTGGCACACATCCACCCCAAAGACCCTGGTGTTCAGCGTCTCTCCCGCACCCTTGTGGCACACATCCACCCCAAAGACCCTGGCACAACATCGACAACAACTACATTTTTGAAATGACACCAAGCATTTAATTTGAACTAAATGAATAAGAACCAAGAGACACCATAAACTACAAATGAATCAAAAAAAAAAAAACATTCTTCACGTTTCCTGCTTAGGAGGAATCAATGGGCACTAGTTGAATTTGGGATACTTTCATCCAGGACAATGTAACTTCTGTCCTGTGGCCTTTTGAGGGGTTTATGGCTGATGGGTGGCAGCCATTTTCCCCACCAGTCGCTTCTCTCTACCAAACATCTCCTGCAGTGCCCCTCCGTCCATCAGAACCACCATAGATACAGTTAGCTCACTTCAGCCCACCGAACTAAACAGACCGCAAGATCCACACCCAGAGGTACGGTCCCTCCGTATTTTATATCGGCCCCTCCGACAGTCAGCCGCCCACCGGGATTGGGGGGGTCAGAGATGGTGAGACACGCAGGCGAAACGGCGCTCATGTGCATTTCATTTTAGCAGCTGAATGCTGCAGCGAAAGGACGGACACTAATGAGAGCAGTGATCGCAGATACATTACTTCAGCGGTATGTATGAAAGAGAGAGAAAGAGGGAGAGAGAGAGAGAGAGACACACACACAATCCCATCATGCACTGTGTTCCACAGTCAGTCTCCTAAGATAGATGTGACATAATCTCAAGGGGTTCAAAACTCAGACTGGCTGAAAATGTATGGACATCTACCTGATTAAGGCCCTGGTTAAGATCGCACTTTGTAAAACTCTATCGTGGGATGTGAGTCATCCTTTCCTGCAGGGTATACAACGTAGAAGGTATGCCATATAAAACTCAGAGAGGCATCACTTCACGTACCTCCGTTCAAAGACGAACAATACGTTCTTCCTAACAGCTGGACACCTGTTAATTGATATTTTAACAGAGCGGCACAGGCCGGTTTAATGTGACGGACTGCTATCCTTTCGCTTCTAATCAAATGTAGGTGGGGGGGGGGTCGGACTGTAACTGCTCACAATGAGGCAGAATTCATCTGCCAAGAACAATAAACTCCGGACAAGGAGAGAGGGGGAATCAGCCGTGGAGGCCGCTGCATAGCATAAACCGTGCAAAATGAAAACCTGAAGATATACAGATAGATTGGCTGTACTGAGATTTCTCCCTGTGTCCTATACAGCATATGACAAACCATCCACCATACTGCAAGAATACAAATAATATTTTCATTTGCTGTACAAATTGGCATAATAATAATAATAATAATAATAATAACAACAATAAATTGCGTTCCCCACCCTTTACTCAGCGTAGAGCTCTGTCGAACTAGGAATTCTAGTAATTTCTTAATATCTAATAATGCTTTTATTTGTTGTCAAGATCGTGTTACATGCATATACAATTCCAATGTTCACAACAGCAAGTGGGTATAAAACCGGAGCATACTTAGGCTTGTCCCGTGATGCGCAAATGAAGTGTATTTCTGCTCCTCTCCGCTCTGTCCCCCGAAGCCGCCGGCGAGGGCAGTCACTGCGCGTCCACATCCATGCCGGCGCGGCTCGGAGCCTGACGGATGCCAACAGCCCTCTTCTCCTTCCGCAAACCGCTGTGCATGACCTGCATGTCCCGGTCCTCGCGAAAGACAGCAGCTCTCGCAGAAATTAAAATTCCACCCGTAAAAATAATACCTGTAATGAATAATTTAGCAAATCAATACTGCATCGTGAAGGTGGAAAAAGCTCCAAAATCAATCTATTTTAACCAAACCGAGGTTAAAAATCCGACTATTTGGTTTTGACCAAACACATGTATTACGGAGAATCATCATTCACGTGATCAGCGATGCTGCCAGTGCCATTTTCCCAGCGTGGATATTGAGTTTTTGATCCTCAGGTTATATAGATTGTGAGCCTCCCGCACTGTGGCGTTATCTGGCCGCTGAGTCTCTCTATCTATCTCTATAGCGCACCAGCCTGTCTCGAGTGTAGGGCGTTACTAGCAGTTTTTCTGAGCAGATATATCTGCAGGAGGCACGTTCTGAATATGCAAGTTAAAGAGCCCGTGGCTATTTTTACTTATAATCCGATGCTTTTCACGCAGAGACATCTATTTCAGACTTACGCGATAAAAACCCAAGTTGCAAATGTAGACAAAATATACACTTGAAATCCAATGCACATATGATGCTTATTTTCATTATAGCGTTGTGTACACATAGACAAACATTTATTTTAAGTTCGTGTGTGTGTATATATATCATATATCATATCATATAGAAAAGACCGTTATAAGGCATTCTTAATAGTTAGTGGTGTTAATTGCATGTGCATGGAAAGACAGATACGTGATGCTGGAGGATGTTGTTGGTAAAAAGCAGCACTGCTTCAAACGACTGTGGACAACACCTTAGCAGTCGCTGTTATCTAGGAAGCTGGAAAGCGTACACCTAGGGGCCAGCCATGCGTGCGTGCAATCCACAGAAAAGTGAGGAGGGTTAGGGCAGCGCGCCATGACAGGCTGACGGCACTGCATTGCTGGCTGGGACGCTGCACGGCACGCGGCGGCGGCTCTGAGCATGTGCGCTCCCGCGGCCCAGGGCTCTGGGGACCGGCGCGCTGTCGCCCCTCTGCTGACGGGGGACAGGCAGCCTGGAAGAGGCCGGAGTCAAACCGATAACGATTAGCTTTGCGGTACTGGAATGACAAGGCGAGCGGGCGTGTGCGAAGGATACAGTATATTAGAACCAAGACAAGTTTATCTGCAGCAACTCGGGTGCGTTCAATAAGATGTACATGCATAAATATTAACAATATCGCTCGCATAGCCGAAGACAGGTAATGCCTGTTGATTTATTATTTTGAAACAAACAATGGGGCCAGTGATGGGATATTCCTATGATTAAGGCATTATCATTATTCCAGTACATGTCGCACATCAAGGCAGATTTTATATAGCCTACATATATCAAATATTCAACGGAATCTTTTAACATCTACAGGCCAGCTTGTAAACGCTGAGGTGGACAGAAATTACCGATGAAGGTCCGCAGTCGTATACGTAACTGTTATTAGTATATTATAAATTAATCCAAGGCTCTCCTAAACAGCAATCTACGGCGGATTTCAAAGATGGACAGGCAGAGGCACTGCCAAGAACGTTAATCGTCCGTATTTATGAATCAATGGATGAAAAGCAGTCGGGGAAAAAATCAAGAAGAAAACAGGGATAATCGCTTTCACTTTTAAAGAAAACTGCACGCCCATTTCAGTTCCTGTGTCGGGAAAGCAGCTGCGTTTTCAGGCGCTGTCCCTTTAAATTCTGCACCTGTGTCGGGCCGCTACGCCACTGTTGCTGATGCTGCAGTGCTCGGGTTATTTTCGGTGAAACATCCGAGGTTACTCGCGTTCAAGAGTCGCATTCCTGCATCATTTGCGAGCGGAGACAGAAAGTCCTCCGGCACAGTCACGCACAGACAGATCTGGTTAAAAAGTCACTCAGGGAGCAAGCGAAAACGTTCCTATTAATACGCGATGCGATTTGAACGTGATACAATTAATATTCAGATGACGATTCATTCTTTCCTTGTTTGTATATTTAAATCACACATAACGTAATTTACACATACCATAGGCTATATAACAGTAGGGAGTACCGACACAACATTTCCCTCTTAGCTACACCGGCAAAGCCTGTTTGGAAGCGGAGGAATTACTGCCTGGATGCGGGCCAGAGGCTGTCCCTGTTTTTCCAAAGAGACGAGATGAAATCCTGATCCTGGGTTCTGCGCTGCAGTGGAGTCAACGGATTGTGTTACAACACAGCCATTATCTGCTATTCCAGGTTTAATCCAGGATCAACATATGAATTTGAGGTCAGAGCGGCTGTACCATTAACAAATTTCAGCCACCGTAAAGTAGGCTATCTGTGAAATGCTGGGGATGCTTAAAATGAAGAAGACTGGAAAGATTAAACTGAAAAAAAAAAAAAGTTTCATTTTGACATTTGTATTCGCTGAGTATTAGCAGCAGCAAGGAAATTACATACTAGCAAAGACAAATAGAATAAAAACATATTACATGAACAACACCACAACTTATTGACGTGCAGATTTTTTTGGAAGAAAAAAAACAACCTAAAATTCTTTTTTAAAACTATAGTCTCTTTGTGGTCTCCCTTACAAATAGTTCAATAGCTAAATACTAATAACCAATAATAAATTGTAAGTTTAGCTAAATACGAAACATTCTAATCATTTTTCGGAAGGAATTTGATGTGTACACACTCGGATAGTCTAATAAAATAATTACACTATTTTTCTAATATAATTGCTAAGTGATGGCAAATAATCACTTAGTAAAACACTTCAGTGCGACTACATTTCACACCTGCAGGAGAAACTCGGCGAACGTTCCTAACTGTATCGCCACGTTATCTATTTAGTAATTAGTGCCGCTAATCTGTATTCGAGAGTAAAATTACAACCATAAGCTATTTCATTTACTGCGCTATACGTTATACCATTTTTTTCAGGAGATTACTTGGCAGAATATGAAATGATCATCTAGTGATGAGTGTTATTATTTAAATTAAAGTAGGCCTAATTCAGTGAAATATCATCAGTGAGGGGCGGGGCTCAGTGGATGGGGGGTTGAATCTTTATGGGGGGGGGGGGGGGGGGGGGGGCTGATGACAAACTATTCATGACGTAAGGTAACAAATACGCACTTATGGGCGGGTAAAAAACATTTTAGGGGGACTGAAGCTACAACACATCTAACGACGCCCCGATACCCATTAATTTAAAGAAAACAGTATATTACATATAATTATTGTAGCCTATAATACATCAGGGCTCCAGTAGGGAGAATGTAAAGAGTAGGATTTACAGTAATGGGCAAAATTACTGCCACCTCTGCATTCCTATCAGAAAATGCACCCATTTCTCCCAAAAAATGCTGCGATCACAAATGCCGGCTATTCGCGCGGTTTTTTTTTTTTGTTTTTGTTTACATTGGAACTACACAAAAAAGCAAAGAAAAGCAGTAAAATCTGTTATTCCGCACAGACATCCAGGAATGAATTGGGTATAGTTATTAGGACCTTTGGCAAAATTGTAAGAAAAATAGGATTTCAGTCATATGATGCACTCATAATTTGTATTTAAACTCACCTGGAGCAAGTAACAGGTACTGGGAAAAATCATACTGGCAACCAATTTAAATAGAGAAATGTTAACTCGATTTTTGTCTCTCGCATGGAGAAAAAGAAAAAAGTAGAGCAAAGACTTGCCTGAGGATTTAAGAACCATGACTGTGAATAATTATGGACAATCTCAAGGCTACAAATCCATCTCTAGATATCTTCATGTTCCTGTGTCCACTCTATAACCTCCTAGAAGTGTATGCAGACGGAAAAGAGAAATTGATGGAGGATTGCATTGAAGAAGTGTGTGCATAGAGGAAAATGAACCTCAATCAACTTCCAAACACATTGGACACAGGGTACAGAAGTGTCAGCTTGCACTATCCGTTGCCATCTGAATGAGAAAAAGGAGGACAGTACTGCTGACAGGGAGGCTTACCTGAGGAAGACAAAATCCTTCTGGAAGAACAGAAAGATGTATTCTGGAGGTCATGGGTCTTCCGGCAGAAGACCGACCAAAAGCAAACTTCAAAAAGCACCCAGAAATGGTTTAAGACAAAGCACTGGAGATGTGGACAGCAATTAATTCAGCTCTCAATCCCATAGAGCATCTTAAAACAGCAGTTGGGAGAAGGTGTCCTTCAAATCTGAGAGACCAGGATCAAGGAACTGGAAAAAGAAGAGTGGCACAAAATTCCAGTAGAGAGGTGTAAGAAACTCATAATTGATCCTAAGGAACATTATAATCATATAATTGGATAATGTTTGTTATTAATGCATATTACAGCTGTTGTGTTATGTTAGGATGCTAAGGTATATATACATGCTGCTTATGAATGTTCTATGAATGCATGAAGGTACATTTACTGTAAAATATATTACCTGTTTTTCTTAGTGGTTGTGTCTATGAGAAGCAAAAACACCATGGTATTATTGATACAAATGCATCTTCATATTTATTCAGTAAGCATTTTTAAAAAGTACATCTCAGCTCAGATAGACACCATTTAATACAAAAAATGGATTAATTTCTAGAATTTCAACTGACTACCAGGATAACTGTCTTTCAAAGCAAAAACAGTGAAAAAAAATTTCAGTATGAAAGCAAAAGATATGGTCTGTACATATTACTGCACTTTTTGTGGGCTGAACTTTCTACAAACATGAATGTCATGAATATTCACCTTCCCTCAGTCATCGAAAGCTTCGGACACAGTGACCAGCAGCCACAATGCCTCAAAACATGTTTGAGAGTATAAACATAGAATGTTTCCCCCCTGCTATCTGAAAGCAGAATATCTCTTCCATAAATGAATGGCATTTAACAATAAAGATTAGAAGGTTTTGACTGACATGTGATAACGGCATTCCAAAACATGCATGAGTTTGTTCTGCAAAGCCTTTCAGTGCACTTTCAGGGTCATCCCATCCTGCTCAAGATAAATCCTTCAGGATATTTCAGAAGAGTACTTCAGTTCAGACGGGCCCCACCATTTTAGGGAACATCAACAAAGTGCATGCCATATTAATAATCCTGAAGCGTATATAAATGTCTGTCCCATCAAAAATACCACCACCATCTGTGGGACCTGTTCTACTAGCAGTTGGGCTCATCACAATGATCTTCAGAATGTGTTGAACACAGCTGCCATTTGTGTTATTTTTACTGACATCCTGCAACAAGTTCATACCAAATACACTTGAAAACAACAAAATTGGTCTGTATAAAACATTTTCGAATCCCAGGAATTTATGCTCATGGGAGTTTCACTTACACAAAAATGTTCTGAGGGCAGAAGGAAAAATGATTGGTTCAGAGAGACAGCCAATCAGACTGTAGA